TGACCTATATGACTTAGAAATCCAGAAGAATCTGTATACTGCTTCACCGAAAGATATTGGCGAAATTGCGGGGAGAATGTGTCGGAGCCACTCGACACAGTGGCTCATTTCCTTGGCATCACCAGAGGAGTGGAGAGGTGGAGCGCATGCATGTCTATTCTATGTCCCAGTGGCTCAGTCAGGTTAGCAATTGCGTTATATTTTCAAGGTTTGACCTGTGCCAAGTGGGTGATGGGCTAGTCTCACGCACATGTGGCTTCTGTTACACCGTAAGGCTCAGAAAAAAAGAAACAGCAAGAAAGACACAAGACAAGAGAGTGGGTCAGACATGGATATGGATACATTTCGTCGCCTCTCGGGCCCATATCCCCCGCAGTGGCGCCCAGTCCAACAGGCCGGAGGAGGCGACAAAGTGAATCTGCCTCTCAGGAACAATCTCGCCTCGGGCTTTCCCTGGCTCGGACTCTAGTCACACATTAAGATGTAATTTTGCTGTCTTTTTCTTTTTGTCTTAGGCGTCGTCAGCCGATAGTTGGCTTTGGGTCTCACCTCAGATGGGGTCTGTGCCACTGAGGTATCAGAAGGAGATCCGAAGACGATGTTGCAATTTAGGAAGAAAGTACGGAATAAAGGATGTATACTGTAGTATGTACGGTAGCGATAAGGAAGTAGATAACCCGGGGCCTCGTAGATAGGGTACATGGGAAGTACATCATTCGCTATGTGGACTCTGGGCGTGTTCCAAGTTTAGTCGATGTATCGAATTCCCTACTTGCTCTGCATTCCACTCTCCTTTTCTTTTTATTTTCTTATCTTGCCAGTGCCCCTCTACTCCCTCCCTACTCCCCCTCTACTTTTACTCTTTTACTTTCTTTCCACTAACGTTAACGTTTTAAACGTCAACTCGGCACAAGTGTCGGACAGAGGCTTGTTCCACGGTTCTGTTGGCCGTGGACCCCAAAGAGAACAATAACGGTCAACGTGGTTTCCCCACCGGCCCACCGCATTGCTATTTATTGCGTCTCTTTGACTCTCCTAGAACCAGGACTGTGTTTCATCACTATGCAGGTCTAGGTGATCACGGTGCAGTACTGCGCACGCGACCTGACGCTCTCTATACCTTCCGATTGTTCCCCCGTCGATAGCCGACTTCGTCGAACCTGCCCTACTCTGTGTCGTACCGACACCCTCCGGAAGACGCGGGAGAACACTGGCGGACAAGAAAATCATATCTACGGCTCGAGGAAAACCACCAAAATGGCCGCCCAGATATCCGACGAGATCATGCCGGAGGGAATCTCTCCCCCGAACTCGACAACCTGCGGACAGATCCCATTAGAACAGCCGCCCAAGCTGAAGGGTCGCCAGAAGTTCCTGCAGAATCTTCAGCGAATGTCGTCTAGCCCGACATTGGCAAGACGTGCGCGCTCGGCATCTACTTCTGGCCTTCGGCGAGAGCACAAGGCTTCCCTATCTTGCGTTTCGTTATCATCGACCGCATACTCGCCTTGTCTGGGAAACGGGAGTTCCTCTCAGCTCTATGGAGGTCTCAATCCTCGTCCTGCTACGCCCGGTTGTTCTGGTTCTCCTGGCGAGTTCCAGGGCTCAAACCTTCGCCCACGTCTAGTCGATACTGATGGGCCCAGTGGCCCTTTACCCCGCACCGTCCCTCTGCCCTCAGACGTGAGGCCGGCCTCACGGGGGTCACCGCGAACAGGCACACCGGTGGGGATTAGGATGGAGGAGATCGTCCTACCGGAATCCGAGCCAGTGAAGACTTTCGATTTCTGGGGTGATATGCCGAGAGAGCTCAAAATGGAGGTCTTTCAGCATTTGACACCGCAGGAGATTGTTCGCTGCTCTGCTGTTTCCAAGGCGTGGAATGAGATGTGCTATGATGGGCAGCTATGGTCTAAGGTTGATACAACCGAGTACTATTCCAAGATTCCCAGCGATGTTTTGGTGAAGCTCATCACTTCTGGTGGTCCGTTCGTTCGAGACCTCAATCTGAGAGGTTGCATTCAGATGCGTGATAAGTGGTCATCCGACGGAGAACGCATGTCGGATTTGTGCCGAAATGTCGTCAACTTTTCGCTGGAGGGTTGCCGTATCGACAAGCCGTCTATTTACTCTTTCTTGCTCCGCAACCCTCGTTTGGAAAATATCAATGTTTCGGGGTTGTCGAGTGTCACGAACTCAGCCATGAAAGTCATTGCACGGTCTTGCCCGCAACTTGAGACATTGAATGTTTCGTGGTGCAACAACGTTGACAGCTCTGGTCTTCTTCGGATTGTCCAGTCCTGTGAGCGGTTGAAGGACCTCCGAGCTAGCGAGATTCGGGGCTTTGGCAACGAAAAGTTTACCTTGGCTCTGTTTAAGCGCAATTCTTTGGAGCGCTTGATCATGAGCCGCACCGACTTGACTGATCAGAGTCTGAAGATGCTGATCCACGGCAAAGATCCCAATGTGGATCTCCTGACCAATCGCCCTGTTGTTCCACCGCGACTATTCCGCCATCTAGACCTGCATCAATGCGCCGAGATAACCGATGATGGTTTGAAGAGTTTAGCTCACAATGTTCCAGATTTGGAGGGATTGCAGGTTTCTCAATGCTCTGAGTTGACCGACAGCTCAATCATCGACATCATCCAGACCACACCTAAGCTGTCCCATCTGGAAATGGAAGATTTGGAGAACTTGACCAACAGTGTCCTTGTGGAGCTAGCCAAAGCTTCATGTGCCCAGCACCTAGAGCACTTGAACGTCAGTTACTGCGAGAGCCTCAGTGACACGGGCATGCTGCAAGTGATGAAGAGCTGCCCAAATCTCCGATCCGTCGAAATGGACAACACTAGAGTCTCGGACTTGACCTTGATGGAAGCCAGCTTCCGCATCCGCAAACGCGGGTACAGCGACGATCTCCCGGAAGTCGGACTACGACTGGTTATCTTCGACTGCGCAAACGTCACCTGGGCAGGTGTCAAAGAAGTGCTCTCCAGCAATGCCTATGTCCCCCGCGCCTCACGCAAACCCACATCAACAGTCGTGACAGTAACACAAACATCCGACGCAGGCTCGTCCCCCATGACCAGCACATACGTTACTCCAAGCTCCACCCCTCCACCCTCATCAACTTCCCCCAACGAAATCATCCAACTCAAATGCTTCTACGGGTGGCAGATGACCGTCGACGAGCACACGAAGCGTGTCCTCCGCGGTGATCTGGCAGCTGCTTCCCGGCTGGACCGGAAGTGGGCCGATTACATGATGGCTACAGAGGAAGCCGGCGCTGCCGGTGCCGGTGCGCGTCGACGCAGGCGCCGTGCTCGTGAGGCCGAGCGGCTCTACAATGCCGATGAGGATGAAAATGATGCTTACGGTATAGGTGCCATCACTGCTCTTGGTGGTAGACGTCGCCGAGCTCAGAGTGGTGGCAGTTGCACTGTTATGTGAAGACATCTTCTACCACTCTTTTCTTTGTGTTCTGTGAACATCTTTCCGAGTTTGACGCAAACCGCGGCTCGAATCTGCCGGCGCAGGACCGCCAGTAGGATAAATGGACTTGTCCGTTTATTTTTGAGCGATCTTCTGCTAGGAGCCAACTTTCTACGAACCATGAATTACGCATACTATGACTCTCCAACACCTTTCACACTTGACCACCGATTTTCAAATCTTCTTTCTCGATATCTACATCCATCTATCCAACATCATCTGTTTTTCCCATTTCTTTCTTTTGGCGCCAGTTCAAGATTGGCATTTCCACTTCGTGTCTTAAAGCTTTCGATATCTTTTGATCATCTTCGAATCAAGTTCTTTGTTCAGCTCTAGCGCATCTAGAGGGGTCACTGGCGTTTTGAACCTGCCTGGTTCATCGGGCCTCTTTGGGTGATTTTACATTAGGTTTACTTCTGGCCTTCTAGGCTGCTTTATGAGACTACTTTTTCTTCAGTACACTTTATTCTATTTTTCGTAGAAGATCCAGGATAGCAACGTGAAATTACTCGAGAATGTACAACACTGGATGGACTAGAGTTCATAAAATCGGCAACAAGGAGAATGAAAAAGAGGATAAAAAAGGGTCTATCCATGTTTGCCTTCCATGCACTACCCCTGCTACGCTTCATCCACACTGCCGGCTTCATATTCATGATTTGGGTTACCTCAAATTAGACTCCTCGTCTGATCTCCTCTTTCTCTCAATTACATTGTCTTCGTTTCGTTACTTGCCCTCTCATTTGCTCCATCCAGGTGAATAGCTTCATATTTGTCAATTGCGTTACCGGCATTGCATTTCTCGCCTCGCCTTTTTTATCTTCATTGCTTTACCTATTCTTACTCCCTTCATCCTAGTCAATACCCTTATGTTCGTCAATTGCGTTACCGGTATTGCATTCCTCGCCTCTCCCTATTTCAATTATACCTTCTTCATTAACCTACTCTCGTACTCATTTCATTCGAGTGCTTAGGTTCATCTCTGCTGCTTGTATCACCGTCACCTTTCTTGTCTCATTTCCTACACCTACCTTCCATACGTCGTCTTCGTTGCTCGCTGCTAATCTCGCCCTAGCCGCTTGACTTACCCAAGCAACTAGCGACATCTTCGTCAATTGTGTAACCGGCATTGCATTTCTCGCACCTCCTTTTCAATTGCATCATCGTTCTTGCTTTACCTACTCGATTACCCGTTTCACCCAAGTGCTTAGACATATCGACCTCGTGTCCTCTCTTGTCTCATTTCCTACTTCCCTCTATTTCTCACGCCTCCAACCTTTCATACACTTTCTTTGTTATTGATAATCTTGTCCTAGCCGCTTGACTTATCAAAGTGATCAAGTTCGTTCTTCACTATTTGTTTTTCTGTCCTTCTACTAGCACAACTATTCATTTTATCAATCTCGCTTCTCCATTCAATCATGCCAAAGGACACCAAAAAGTCCATTCCAAAGGGCTCAATGTCCCCCTCGGAGAGACCAAGCAGGATGAAACGGGATGCCAAGATGGCATGCGAGCCATCAAAGGCACAAGTACAACAGTACCTGGAGAAACAAGTGGACTTTCAAACCGACTGCTTCGAATTGCTGAGATACCACAACACCTACCCCGAGATCGAATGGAGAGACAAGGATGGTCCCGGCACCACCGCAACTCGCTGGAGCGAAAAGGCCCAGCTCAAGCTAGTCAACAGACTCTCATTCAGCGAAACCGGCAAGACCCAATTCCCACCACCAAATACCCGACTCTGCGATGAATTGGTCTATCTGGCAACCAAATCACTGAACTTTGGGGAGCGAGCTCTTTGGTATCCATACGACTTCAACAAAAAGGGCGACATCAACCCAAACCGCGTGTCTTCAGGAGCAGCACCTATCATTTGGGCTCATGGCTTACCCTTCTTCCCAGTATACAAAGGATACTACATCCTATGCGGTCGTGAGCACGCGATCTGTATTGGTTGGCTGATCAACGAGTACCATCGAAACGTCACAAAGAACCATCCTGTCTGGTCCGTTGGCGCGGTGATTGCACCTGAATCTGCAGCGCGGGCTCCTCACACAATCGACCGCCAGATGCGGCTGCATCAGCCGCATGGAACGGATTTCAATATTCGCTACCGGGGAAAGCCTGTCGCTCGTGACGTTGTCTCGGCTGATCATCACCATTGCGCGGTACTCCCTCACCTCAACCGTTTCATCCAGGTCTGCCCGCTGTGGATGTTTCCTGGGTACAACGTCCGTTGTGGCCCTGTGAATGCCCATGCGGAAACGACGACTGTCAAAAGGGGATTTTTCGTGAGCAAGGGATTGGGAGACAAGTACCTGTCCCTAGTTCGGCCCTATGCCAACATCTTTTCTGATCAGCCAGGAGAATCGGTTGAGTCTACCTCGAAGGATACTAGTGACTCTGGAAACCTTGATGACTCCAGTGATAACGTGAAATCACAGGAACTTGAGGCCAAGGAACAGGGCAATGACCAGGCGCTTGCCTCGCCTGCTGAAACACCGATGGCGGACACATCGATGGTAGAAACGAGCTCAAGACGGGAAATCAGAACCCCAGCGAGTGAAGAGGTCAAAGTAATTACTCAAACCACCTCTGAGGATTCGATGGAACAGATTGTCATCCAGCAGCCCGGGACTGATATTGCTAACGGAGAGACCACAAACCTACCATCCGCGGTTGAGCAAATTTCCGGGGATATCATCATGGATCAGCCTGAACCACAGGTAGGATTCCAGTCATTTCCTACAGATGATGTGCGTATGACATGAGGATGTTGGGCTCTGCTAATGGAAAGGAGGCTCATGATATTGCTATGAGGGGAATTTGTAGAACGAGCGTTTTTTGGGAGGAGGGGGTTTTTTGCCTTTGATGTATTTTTGTGCCTTTATTGCTTTTGCTGCTTTGTTATTCATTCCTTTGCTTAGTGTTTTTGCTATCTCAACTAGCTTGCGGAACAATGAGAACGGTCTGTTTTTGCGTAACTTACTCTTCAGTGTGGAGTAGTGTGATCTTATCTGATGATGATTCTATGCCTTGGCCCAACAAAGTGGTAATTAAACAGGACAGACGGGCAGATATACGGTCATATAGTAGGCCATTAAGTCTTTCACATTCCACCTTTATACAATCTAACTTACATGATTAACCCACCAAACAACTATAACCGGAGGCACGCGAAAATGGGCAAAAAATATGTGAAATAAAGAGAGGCCAAAGCAGGGCGAAAACAATGCATGAAATCGTATGCTCGCTTCGTGGCTGGGTTTCGCGTAGAGACTGTCCATCAGTGGCACTTTATACACACTTATGACCCCTGTTGTAGATGGTTTCTTTTGTCCTCTGTCCTGCCGATATCCTGGTCATTCTGGTCCAGTCCCTATGCTCTGCATATCTTCGGATAATCCAACGTGGCTAGGCTAGAAAAGAAGTTTCATAAAGCAGCTTAAAGGGCCATGGTGCAAGACTGTTTTGGTTTCAATTGCGCTGAATTGCAGTGGAAATGCTAAGGTGGATATCATGATGAATGAGGAGACATGAACTATTTCTGCACCACGGTTTTCGCTAATTACTCGAAGAAACCACCGTCACTTTCATCTTGCTCCTCCACGGGAACTTCTTGAGGTGCATCACGCTTAGAAGATCGTTCATTGCGCATCGGCTTCTCCTTCTTGCTCTTCTTATCATCCTTGGGCAGGTGCTTCTCCTTCTGTGAGACGCCCTTGGATTCTTTCCGCTGATCCTTCTTCTTGCTCTTCTCCTGGCTGGCATCTAGAGCTGGCACTGGAGCAGACGCGGCCGCAATCTTCTCTCCGTTGAAGTTGATGTTCAACTTTCCTTCGCGCAGAAGGTCCAGTGTCTTTTCTTCCATACACTTGGCAACAACAGACCATAGTGGTGGCTTGGTAGACTTGATATCGGTCTCCGGCTTTTTAGATTCTGTCTCCGACTCTGGCGCATCCGATTTCGCATCCGACTTGGGGTAGATTGATAGGTATTTTTCGGTAAGAGGGTAGTAGATCGTGTAGTTGAGGTTCACACGGGCAGTGTGGATTTTTTCGGCAAGGCGAGACTTTTGTTTCGTATCCAAATCTTGTTCCTTTTCGCGGCGCAGGTAACGGTTGAGTTCTTTGGTGGCGGTTTTGCGGTCTATTCAAAAAGCCAGACACGTTAGCAAGGAATTTACGAAGGTCGAAGTTTGTTTTCCACATACCAAGGAAGCGGACAAAGTGATATTTCTTGATCATCTGCGATCGTTCTCTGCGCGCGGTTTCATCCGCGAGATCTTGTTCGTATCCGGAGAGCGCGCGCTCTTGCAGGATGCGAGCATCGGCAGGCAAATCCACTTTGTTGAGTAGTCGCTTCACATCCCGAATTCGCTTCTTGAGGTCATTGATCGAGGGATACTCCTTCTCCGGCTTCGGCGCGAACTTGTCCTTGAATTTCCGGGTCACTTTGGGCTTCGCGCCATCGCCGTAGTCCTCGAACTGGACCTCATCAGTCTTTTGCTGCTTCTTCCGAGGAGCAGCATCTTCAGACCCATCACGGGTCTTCCTCTTAGGAGGCTCACGGGCGTTAGGCATTGTGTGTGTTGTTGCGAAGAAAAAAGAGGACGCTGAGTTGATAAGAAAAAAAGATATCGGCATATTGTCGGCCCGTCCCCACGATCGCCAGCCAATGAGCTCCATACCATCCCTCTCTTTGATTTACATCTGCTCTTATTGCTCGCTTGCTTATTTGTCTCTGCGGATTATTTATTTATGCAACGCTGTCTGAAGCTTGACTACTAGGACCAGCATGGAGTCTGCCATTCGCTGGTCCCCGACCTCGTCGGCTACCGATCAACGCTTCCTGTCCGTCGACGTCACGGGGAAGTCGTTTCGTCTATGCAGAGTGACCGGGTTTGATGGCAAGAACCTTCGACATGAACTGCTCTCTACCCTAACTAATGTCCCTGGTTTTCGCGCGTTTGACTGGTCTACCTCCAATGAGAACCTGATCGCCGTGGGCCAGTCGTCCGGAGAAGCCACTATCCTACGCCTCGATGGTGATAGCAAGGAGTCGCTTTCCTTCCCAGTCCGCAACCAGCGATACTGTAATGCAGTTGCATTTAGTGCGCATGGACTTGTGGCATCGGGTCTCGATCGCGTCCGGAACGACTTTTGCTTGAACATCTGGGATGTCAACCAACGGCTCAGTCTAGCTGGTGGGAGTAAAGCGTTCACTGAACCATTAAGAAAGCTTGCTAGCTCCGAGCCCATCACAAGTATCAAGTTCTTCAGAGATCAGCCTGACACCCTTGTGACTGGTGTCAAAGGACAGTTTCTTAGGATTTACGATCTTAGAGGTTTGTTCTCCTTGGCTTTCATTCACATGTTCCAAATTTGCTAATGCGTGTGATAGAGGGACTGGGAGCTCCATCAATACAATTTCCCACTCGGTGTGTTCATAATTTGGCCATTGACTGGCTGGATGAGAACTATATAGCATCTTGCGTGCCTTCCAATGAAAGCACCATTTGTGTGTGGGATCGTCGCGTTGGCTCCCGGCTGGCCTCACCATCTTTGGGATCTTCTGCCAGTGCGCCAGACTCAGGCCCAGCAACAGCTGCGCTTCAATTCAAGAATGTGTTCCACCCGAAAGCTTCCATTTGGAGCTTGCGTTTCTCTAAAACCAACCGAGGCAGTCTGGCTGCACTCTCCAGCACCGGGCACTTCAAGCACTATGAAATTGCCAAAGACTATTTGCTGGAGGAATACCGCTCTTCCATAGATGACACTCTCGGTCAGGGCTATTCCAGGAATTACCCGGAATCAATGTACACCAAACGCGTGCGAGACGTATGCGTTCCCTTTGATCATCCCACTCGCGGTTGCAAGGAGAAAGACCGGGTTGTGTCGTTTGATTCCATGAATATTAGTCTATCTGCCCAACCAAGCGCTATCGCACTCGATGGCCGTGGGCAGCCTCAGATTATCACCCCACCACTACCCTGTGCACCGGTTGATATGTCGCCGCAAAGTGTACTGGCTTGTGGTATATCATCGCACGACTTGGAAGTGAGATCAATCCATCCTCTCTCTGAGCATATTTCACCGATCTCAGAGCTGGTTGAAAACATCCGATCACGCGTCTGCTCAAGCTCACACGGGCATGAGGCAAAACCGAATGGTCAACTTTTCGCGCCAAAGGTTATTGAACCCGACCCTGTTCCGAGCCGGGAAAGCCGAGAACGTGCTATGGCTTTGGGAACTATGGGCGTTCCGCTTACTGCAAAGGAAGCACTCACTCTGAACGCTGTCAATCAGTCTCGGTGTGGAGAGGGCTATCTTTTTGATGAGGCTCGGAACCGAAAGGTAGTTTCTGAGGATCCAGCTCTGCAAGACCTGTGGAGTTGGATTGAACGTGAGTTACTTGGTTCATTTGGAAGTCAAATACATGTCTAATGCATATTTAGGTGCTCGCGCCGACTCCTCGGGAACGGCAATGGTAGTCAATGGCTTGGATTTGAATTATCTAGGCGTGAGCAATGTTTGGACCAACGATATAGGTTCGTTTACAAAACTATTTGTTGATAGTTCTTTGCAGCTGACTGGAAATAGGTCAAGGCTTGGAGAGACGCTGCATCAGCACTAATCCCGATGACCCGAAAAGTGTTTCGGCAGCAATAACATCTTTAGCTGAGAAACTGGATCTTCCCGAGACCAAGGGCTGCGACACTGACTTCCCTGCTCATCGCCGACTATGTCTTCGCCTCTGTGGCGCAGCCCAGAGTTACCGCAAATTGGAAGAGTCGGTGAAGAAACTATCTGGCGAAGGGCAACATACCAAGGCCGCTGCGTTGGCCGTCTTCCAAGACGAGCCCAAGTTGGCTTACCTTGGGCTTCGGAGCAACCAGCCTACTCAAGCTCATAAATTGCTGGCGATGGCAATCGCCGGTGCTGCCAAAGGAGACAATGGCACAGATTGGGAAGAGACCTGCGCGGAAATCGCTACGGAGCTTACTGATCCTTATGCTCGAGCCATTCTTGCTCTTGTGAGCAAAGGCGACTGGAATGCCGTCATCAAGGAGACCACGCTGCCTTTGAGATATCGTGTGGAGGTCGCGCTACGCTGGCTTCCAGATGACGAGCTAACTGAATATTTGAAAGATGCCACGGATGAGGCTATGTGGCAAGGTGACATCGAAGGTGTTGTTCTCACAGGATTGGGCCATCTCGCCATGGGCCTGTTCCAGTCATATATTGGAAAATTCAATGATGTTCAAACTCCGGTGCTAGCAATGAGCCACACTGTGCCGCGGCTTATCAGCAACGAGAAACAAACTGTCCAGTTTGAAGCCTGGCGTGAAACCTACCGACGCCAGATCAACTCGTGGAAAATGCAACTCGAGCGAGCCCGATTCGATGTGGGATCCCGTCGCTTTGCTGTGACCGTGGACGGGGAAAAGCTTATGCCTACGCCGCCGCAACAGGTCAGCCTGACCTGCAATTACTGTACCAGCCCTCTCACCCAACATGATGCTTCCTCCCAGGTCTCCCCAACTACAAAAGGCGAGACCGTCCACCCTACTATCGGCAATCCACTGGCTCCCACGACCATGACTGGAACTGTATGCCCACGCTGTGGTCGGCATATGCCACGATGTGGAGTCTGTACCTTATGGCTAGGCTCGCCAGATCCGATGTCTCGCGCCAGCATCGCTGCTGATGCAGAAGCGGCCTCCCGAAAGCCCACAGGTGATGAAGTGATGAAGCGGTTTGTGGTTTTCTGTATCCATTGTAATCATGGATTCCATGCACATCATGCCAGCGAATGGTTCAAGCGGCATAAGGTCTGTCCCGTTGCAGAATGTAGTTGCATCTGTGATCGGTGATGGTCTTTGTGCACCTCAGTCCATGGACTAGATGTGGCTTGCTCTTTTCTGCGATTGTATATATATACCCTTTACTCCTTTGATATTAGAATAACGGAGATACTATATGTTACTGTATACATCTGTTGAGGTCAATGTGAACGTCCCCCACTTTTTATCTCCGATGTTATTCCAAAAGAGGACCCCGATATGAAATGTATCCTGTCCATAGGGTAATGTATCATTGAATTCTCATGACCTGTGAGTCATTTCCGAGTTATGAGTAGTGCCTACTATGCAATTAAGTACTTGGGTTGCAGATTGCCAGAGCCGCATCCCATATCGCCCCACCTCAAACTTATTCCCGACTTTTTTGCTTCTCCCCGCACACCCCTCACCTTCAAGACATCATGCCAGGCAAGGACAGAAGACCTCGTAGTCAGGGCCAAGGACAAAGCCGTGATGTGCAGGTTTCCAAAGCTTTGAGCTTACTCCTCCGCCATGCCGCCGAGAAGGAAGGACTGAAGATGAACGAGCAGGGCTACGCCAGCGTAACAGACGTGGTATGCTTTATAACCCCACGGATTATAACACTGCAATATACTCACCGTCATCAAGCTGGAATGGAGGAAACTTAAGTCTCTCAAAGTCACCTTCCCCGAGATCCTACATGCCGTCGACTCGTCCGACAAAAAGCGTTTCGCTCTCCTCCACATCCCATCCGCCCAAACCACCGAATCTACAACCCAAGCAACAACAGTGCCAGTAACAGGGCCTAATGCAGAGCATGAGGCCGCGAAGGTCGCAAGTGAAGACCAGCCCTCGACAACCGTCTTGGAGTCTGCGCCCGCCACGAGCGACGCTCAGCAAACCGCTACCGACCAAGCTTTGGCCGTGAATGACACCGACCCGTCGCACTTCTTAATCCGCGCGACACAAGGCCACAGTATCAAGACTGTCGACGCTGCATCCTTCCTCGAACCGCTCTCCTTGGCCGATGAAACAAAGCTACCCGATACCGTTGTCCACGGCACGTTCCACTCGACCTGGCCGGTAATTCTACAATCCGGTGGTCTACGCTGCATGGGCCGGAACCACGTCCACTTTGCGACTGGGCCATCACTAGAAGCCGTCCTGGCCCAGGATAAGGACGCGGTGCAGGCCAAGCCGGCAAGCGGCGAGGCACATGTCATCTCGGGCATGCGACGCGACGCGCAGGTCTTGATCTATGTTGATATTCGGAAGGCGCTAGCTGCGGGTGTTCCCTTCTGGCGCAGTGAGAATGGTGTCATTCTTAGTGAGGGCATCCCCGTCCCGAAGGAGGGTGAGAAGGGCGAGCCTGCCAAGTTCGTGTCCCTTGACTTCTTTGATGTTGTTGCGGAGCGTAAGGTCGGCCTGGGTAAGCTTTGGGAACGCGGGCAGGTCCTGCAAGAGCTTCCGGAGCACCTTACCAAGAAGGGGAACCCCAAGGGTCGGCGATGAACTGCATATGAAGATATTCAACAATAGTCTACAGTTGTGGACAATAGTCTAGCCCGTTACAGATCTGTAGGTAAATACATCACCCGGAATTATTTCCCTTTTCACCAAGTATAACTATCCCATTGCTTCTATACATTGTTTCGTATATAACCGTATCCGACTGCGGGGAGATCGGAAGTGTATCTGCCAGCCGATCCGAAGCGCCAACCGACCTTCACATCCGACGCCCCCCAAGCCCAATCATGCCACCAACACCGTGGATTTGCGGGGTCATCCTCAAATAAGCGCCATGGTTTTGGTCAGATCATGGGGCACGTCCGGTACACCGAGCCACCCACCTTTTCCGTGAGCGACGCGTGAGGCAATTGGTTCACGGAGGCCAAACTCCCGTCGGATCAAGGTGCATATATAATATGGGGTTGCATATCAGCTAAAGCCGAATGCTATTTCTTATTGACGCCCTCCTTTCCTTTCAAGTCCTCTTTCTAACTCTACTTCGCCCTCACCCTCACCACTTACCACCACTCTTGTGACCTACGCGCAAACATGGCGACGCACCGCTTCGACCCCACCTTCACTGACAGGGTCATCGACGCGATGGGCCCCAAGACCTCGCCGCGAATGCGACAGCTCATGACCGGCCTGATTCGCCACATGCACGACTATGCGCGCGAGGAGGAGCTCACCGTTGACGAGTGGATGGCCGGTGTAAAGATGCTCAATTGGGCCGGACAGATGAGCGACGATAAGCGCAATGAGGGACAATTAGTGTGCGACGTGTTCGGACTTGAATCGTAAGCTCAAGATATCTCCTGCGAAAGCATGTGGCCAAGAAAGAAGAAAGCGGGATTCCTAACATATCTCCTTTGCGCAACAGTCTCGTCGATGAAATCACCTTCAAACTCGCCGAAGAAGCTAAGGATGCGCCCACTGCCACAGCTATCCTGGGCCCGTTCTTCCGTGCCGATACACCCTGGCGCCAGAATGGCGAGGATATCGTCAAGACTAAGCCTGCTGATGCTGAGATGGCGTTCATGCAGGGTCGCGTGATGGACTTCCAGACCAAGAAGCCGCTTGTCGGTGCCTCAGTTGAGGTGTGGCAAGCTTCCACCAACGGACTTTACGAGCAGCAGGATTCCGAGCAGGTTGAGTTCAATCTGCGCGGCAAGTTTAAGACGGATGAGGAGGGTCGGTACTGGTTCTACTGCCTGCGCCCGACTCCCTACCCTGTACCCGATGATGGTCCTGCTGGGAAGCTCCTTGAGTTGATGGATCGTCACCCCTTCCGTCCTGCTCATATTCATATTCTTGTAAGTTTGGACTATAATTCTGTTTTGATGTGATGTTTGGAAAGATGCTAATATATACAACAGGCTACTTGTGAAGGCTACCGTCCCCTCACCACCCAGATCTTCGACCGCAAGGATAAGTACCTGGACAATGACTCTGTCTTTGCCGTTAAGGATTCGCTGATTGTGGACTTCGTACCGCGCGAGAATGATCCCGAGGCTTCTCTTGAGCTTAACTATGATGTTAAGCTGGTGAAGGATGAGGCTAGCACTAACGGCGTATGAGCGAGGCAAAACATCATAGTGGCATTTTCTGATTTCATGTTAATAACGATAACGTTCTCTGCACATATTGAATCCAATCAAATTTTTTAAGGTCATCTACGCTGAATCCTTCCTCTGGATAATTGCACCACTGAACCAAGTACCTCCTCTTGACATCGAAGGACTATCTTTTTAACTTTAGATCCTAGACTAAACCAAGCTTTTTTTTAAAAGACCGAAGTCTGCACAAATTTTGCATTTGTATATTGGCATACACGTCATTCAATTCTAGATATTGTACTAACAATCAACCATCAAGTCCTCGCAACCGCCGCAAACTTAGCAATCAAAGCGCCAACCTCATCAGCAGCCTCAATACAATGCCAATGACCAACCCCCTTCAAAACCTCCAAAGACTTCTTCACACTAGAAACCCGATCAAAGATATGCCGACATCCCTCCATAGAAGCAGATTTATCCTCCTCGCCCGCAATAAGCAAGAAAGGCGCCTTAACAGCCGCATAATCAGCAGGCTTCGCACTAGCAATAGCCCGACAAAGCGCCGCATACCCCTTAGGATCCTGGCCGGAGATCAATTCCCGAATGAAAGCCTTCTGGAGCGGGGTGCTGCGCGAGCCAACTGCTCCGAAGGGGATCGTATTGGCCATTGATTCCATTCCGGCTGGACAGGAACGAGATATGTGAGCATTTGTAACATGAGATAACAAACATAAAAAAGGAAAAGGAGAAGGAGAAGGAGAAGGAGAAGGAGAAGGAGAACTCACATTCGAGAACAGTCTCCGATCTCTTATTCATAACCGTAACCAACATATCCGACGGATGCGTGGGGCCAATAGCCACAATGCCCTGCATACGATCCGGATACCGCGCGCCCAGCTCTGTGACCACAATCCCGCCCATAGAATGGCCGACGGCCACGGCCTTGCGGACTCTTAGTGTATCCAGCACGCCGATGACATCCTCTGCGATGTCCGGGATTGAGACTGCGCCATTGGTGTAGGGGGAGCGGGCGGCGCCGTATGTGTCGATTGTGATGCAGCGGTGGGAGTCTGTCAGATGTGGGATTACGGGATAGTAGTAGTTTTGCGAGGAGCCTAGGCCGTGGACGAAGATGAAGGTTAGTCCGGTTGGGGTTGGCGGGCCTGCGGGGTGGGAGTCTGCGTAGTTGAGGCGGTGGCTGTTGGCTTGGACGAATGGCATTTTGGATAAATTGGATGGGTTATTGGGGTAAAGGAAAGGAAAGGAGAGGGTGTATGAAGGGGTAATGGGATGTTTGAGGATGGAGAGGAAGAAGTGGGAGGGCAGATCTATAAAACTGATAAGCGTAACGTCATTCCCGATCAGACTATGGTATGGCTATACAGCTAAAATCTTCCAGAAACGGGCCATCGGAGCACTGCAGCTCTGCGAAACTAGTGCAGGCTACTTCATCCTTGTAACTCCCGAATTCAAGCATCCGAACTGGGGCGGATAGCACCCGACCGTCGGACCGCAGCCGATCTGTGCAGCCCCATGCCAAGCTTTTCTGCGGATTATTCCAAAGCTTCCATGTCCAACGTGTGTGTATTGTGTCTAATTGTACTCTCCAAGAAGGTGTCCGTGTGTGTCAAGGAAATCGGCATCATCATCCCGGAAGGATTCCGAAGCCACCAATGAGGGCATTTTGCGCGGCTCTTCTGGAGGCTGTAGGGATGCGGATTGCTTGGGCGGAGAATGATCATTCGTTCCGTCATTATTCGTTTGTGTAATGACAGCTGCTTCGGCTTCGAGAAAATCCGAGGCATCGAATTGAAAAGAATCACCAAAAGAGGAATCTAGTGTGGGCACCGGCGGAGCTTGTAAAAAGGAATGTTGTTTTGATATGGATGGGGTTTTCGTCTCGTCGTTAACAGGTGGTGTTGCAGCAATGACTTCAACTTCTTTCAGAACATCTTCGTCATCAAATGCCGAGCAGTCGGAGAATTCATCGTCGTCCTTGACGGGATTGATATCCTCTCCGGTTTCATGACCTTCAGTGTCCTCCGAGATGCCTGCATCCTGGACCTCGGAGTTATCAGGACCTTGAAGTTCAGACAAGTCATTTTCCAACTCCTCATCCAGGTCATCAAATGCATCTGAATCATCTTCCGTATCTCCAGCGGCGCTGTCAGGCTCCGTATCCCCTCCGTCGCTACCCAATTCCGTCTCCGTCTCCGTAGTTGTAGTTTCAGGTTTGGGTGGTGCAGGCGACGGTTGCTTAGCTCCAAGGAACATCGAAAGTAGCGGCTGGCTGGACGGAACACGGGCATTTGGATCGGGGATACCGCGACGCTTCCGCTCCTCGCGGGCGCGCGCCTCTTGCTCGGCTTTTCGTTTCTTATTGGCGATGCGTTTCTTTTCCCTTTCACGCAGCTGCTTCGCTTTCTTCTCCCGTTCCTCCTCGCGATCTATTCGTTCAACCTGGGAGGCGGTAAATTTGAAGCGTTGGTTGCTGCGCTGGTACCGGCGTCGCACTGTCTTGGATTTCTCCAAAATGACGCGGCGCGGCTCATCCGGCATGATGGGGGCAACCGTCGCAGCGACTGCCTACTGCCTGTTCGGTCATGGGGGGTTGGAGGTTGAGGTTGAAGATGTTGTCGACGGTCTGTGTTCGCGGTTGTGGTTGGCGGTGTTACGTTGTGCCGACCGGGAGTCAACAAACTGCCTAATTGGGCGCGATCTAAAGCCTTTCATCTATTGTCTGTCTATATGATCGTCTACAGTTCTCTGATGCAACCTGATCCCAAGCAGTTCAAACAGCGTTGGATTTGGCTTGATGACGTCATCTAGATCTTGCAGTCCCGGACAGGATCCCAGCACACCGGCGCATACGAGTCGAGCTTCAGACTGGCCATATCCCCATCGGACAGAGTGAAATCGAAAACCTGCGAGTTCTCCAGGATGCGAGACTCGGTCACTGACTTGGGAAGGGGCACGTATCCCTAATGCACAGATTAATGACCTACTCCAAGATAGCAAGGAACACCACATACCTTTTGCACACTCCAGCGAACGAGAATCTGAGCCGCGCTCTTACCGTGCTTCTTTGCCAGGTTCTGCAGAACAGGCTCATTCATGCGGGTTGCCTGCACCAGGGGAGAGTATGCCTCGACAATGATGTTACGCTTCTGCAGCCACTCCGCGATATCGTCACGCGGGCACCACGGGTGAATCTCGTATTGACCGACGGTGATTTGACCACCTCCTCCGTTCTTAATGTACTCCTCTAATTCCTCGAGTTGCGGAATACCGAAGTTGGACACACCGAGGGACCGGATGTGACCAGCCTTCTGGGCCTCAACGAGTGCGCGCCATGTGCCGAGGCGGCCCTCCTTGCCGCCATAGGGAGCGTGGATCAACATCCTATTCAAGGTGATCTTAGTATGTCGCCCTGGGTTATATGGAGGGGGCAAGGAAATCCATACAGGTCAATGTAGCCGAGGTTTGCATCAGCAATGCTTTCCTCAATGGCCTTCTTTGATTTCTCGTATCCCATGCAGTTCGCAGGCACCTTGCTGGTGTAGAAGATCTTCGAGCGCTCGAGTCCAGAGTTGCGGATGGCATTGGCACTCTCTGCCTCGTTTTCGTAGTACTTGGCGCTGTCGACCTATATGCTGATGGTCAATAGGGGATATCTTGGTATGTGAAGCTCGATGATTCCTTACATGGCGGTACCCGAGCTCAATTGCCTTGATAGTTACCTTCTCGGTAACATCGGGTGGCCTGTTCGAATAGGAGTTAATTTCTGTGGCGCATATGCTATACAATGGCAATCATACGTTTGGTAAACCTGCAGAAACTGTGTTAATGATCCAATTTGGACTTCTCAAGGGCGGCTGTACTCACTCCGAATCCCACGACGGGGATCTCGTAGCCTGAGACCAACTTGTAGGTAGACTGAAGTGAAAGCGCCATGTTGCGAATGTTCATAAGTCGAAGAATAAAAACTGTCCAAAGAAAGAGCGGATAGGACAAGTTTAAATGATGAACTCACATCCGCGGACCACCTCGGTCCCCAAATTTCCGCTCTTCAGTCTTCGCCGAAGCTTCCAGCGGTTGACAAGGCAAGTGGGGGCCTTGCGAGGGTACCCCGAATAGGCTGATCAATGGCCTATCAAAGCGACGTGGGGCATTGAGAGATTTGGAGATACAGATTGGGCATCGCCGGGAAAGGAAGTGTTCAATTTTGGGATTGCATAAGGGTCTATGTTAGCTGACATCCAATCATTAACGAGACAATAAGATAGCAGTTTTATGGAGATAGTTTGTCGTCAAGCTTGCTCCAATTGATCTGATTAGGGCTTCAACAACAAGAGTTGATGACATCATAGCATAGAATTGTCCGATTCTTTATTCGCCGATATCGGGGCTTCTGCTGCATTATCTTATACAGCATTGAATGAACGCAACAAAAAAAATGTCTTACTTAGCCTCAATAAATGCATGACATGTTTGCAGGATGGCCGCTAGCTTGCAGGGCGGTCGGCAGAGGCAGTATCATGTGGTGGGGTTGAATAGTCCAAGTTCAACACAGTCAACGATCCCGTTTTGCATAAACTTCCAGAGATTCACGTTCTTTTCGTCATTGAACAGCTTCTAGAGCTTCCTTGCATGATTGACAATCCGCAGCAACACTCCAAGTAGCGGCATTTTGCACCATTATATGACGGCATCTCAGTAACAAGATCGTCAACACATCTTCTGTCGCATCTTACCTACCAATTCTCCACCGACAAGCACATCCTCAGACGGCCATAATGCGCTGTATCAAGAACAGAATTGAGCACAAGGGCTCAGGCGAAGTCACGCTGTGTCCAGACGAGCCTGAAGACATGGTATATTGGTCTACAGTTCCAGCATGAACCCCGCAGTCGGCTAAAATACCTTTATGATAGTGGCATGCATACAACTTGATTCGACCAGGAGATATTCTCCGCGCTAGCACTATCCGAAAAGTTACAACGGAACAAGATGCCACCGGATCGACACGCTCGGCGCGTGTCCATCTCAACCTTGTGATTCGCGTGAAGAACCTCGACTTCGATCCGCAGAGCTCCCAACTACATGTTTCGGGGCAAATTATGAACGAAACACAACACACGAAAATTGGCCAGTACCATACCCTCGATCTAGAATTGAACCGCAATTTCACATTAGAGAAGGAGGCTGGATCAGATGGAGGGGGTGCTGGCTGGGATAGTATTGCCATCGAGTCGCTCAAGGATGCAGTGGACGAAGGAGGGAAACGACGCGCAGAGGCTATTGCGGTGGTCATGCAGGAGGGACTGGCACATATTTGCTTTATTGGCCAATTTCAAACGATAATGAAGCAAAAGGTTGAGATGTCTGTGCCGCGGAAACGGCAGGGTGGAGGTGACCATGATAAGGTGAGTGGGCTATCTTGGCATTTGGGATCGAATGGGATACTGATATTGTGAAATTCAAAACAGGGAATGAACAAGTTCTTCAAAGTTACACTCGAAACGCTCCTTCGCCAAATGGAGTTCAATACCAGCGTCACTTCGGGCTCCAACAACGAGGCGGTGCGTCCTGTTCTACTGGCATCGCCCGGATTTGTCGCATCAGGCTTCCAAAAGTACATCCAGTCCGAGGCGACGACGACAACACCCGGTCTAAAAAGACTCCTACCTAGCCTCGTGGTTGTGCACTCTGCTTCGGGATATACGAACTCGCTATCGGAGGTTTTACAATCACCTGCAGTCAAGTCACTTCTCGCCGACACCAAGTACGCCCGTGAAACCAAGTTGATGGACGATTTCCTGGAGCAACTACGCAAGGAGACCAGCAAAGCCACGTACGGCCCCCGCGAGGTCGAAAATGCAGTCGATCAGGGTGCAGTCGGCCGCGGTGGTGGTGTGCTCATTATTTCAAATCGCTTGTTCCGGTCACAAGATATCGCTGAGCGTAAGCGCTGGGTTACACTTGTGGACCGTGTGCGGGATGTAGAGGGCGGCGACGTGCGGATTCTCAGCTCCGATCATGAAAGTGGAAAGCGTCTTGAGGGTTTGGGTGGTATTGCTGCTCTTTTGACATTCCCTATTCATGAGGAGGATCTAGGGTCTGATGAAGAATAGTCACTCGCGATCTAATACATTTAAAAAAACACATCTATGAATCATACGTATACTATTGTCATCTATTCATCTGTAATGCATCACATTCACTATTTACCCTTCCATTGCTCCTATCCTGTGAGAGCGATAAGTAACCTTGAAGAAACCCCTGCTCCAGCTGAAATGCTGCCACAATCAGAAGAAAGGTCAATACTACCACTTCTTCTTATACTTATCTATCATCGCAACGAAGTGATCCGCCGCAAAGACCGGATCCCCAAATGTCGATGTCTCATTCACGAGATTGCCGATCTTGAAAGTACAGGCGATCTGAGTCAAGGGCGTGTTAACCGGAGGCTCCTTATCAAAGCAGTCATATGAAGGGCTGAGAGCCCCCACAGATTTGAACTCTTCTTTCGTGGATCTCTTCAATTTGGAGAGGAACTCGAGTGCTTCCGATAGTAGGAAATGGTCGTAGTGGCTAGCTGATATTTTCTTGGGGCGAGTTTTTTATACAGTCGGAATCCTTTCTCCAATTCGCTCTTATTCTGAGGCTCTGTTTGATTATAGAAGGCAAGATGTTCCTTCGATCAAGCTTGCCTAAATGGTTGAAGGATTTCGGGAGATTTATTGACAAATGAGCGAGCCTCGGCGTAATTACGACTTGTGTTTTGCTTTATACGCAGTGCCTAATTTACCATATGTTTCCTCTCTCTCTTTCTCTCTCTCACAGACACACGCACTCTCTCTCTCTCGCACTCTGGAACCTCAATGACATTTGACTGATCGTAAATTCTTTATTCAATAAATCAATCATCAATTTACCTAGAGGAAAGAGAAAACACAGACTTGAATCTCCGGAAAGTCTCCGACTTCAACGCCTGGTACTCACTATCCGTCCGCAAAACAGCATCACGGTTCTCAATTGCCCGGCGAAGAAGATATGCCATACATTCACCAAGACCACCCCAAGTCGAGCACTTATAAACCTCAGGTGTTCCATCGCCATCCTTCATCTGAAGCAAAGAGAAGCTAACCTCATCAGACATGCCATGAAGTTGAGCAAAGCGCACGGGGATAGTGGGTAGACCCGCAGTGACACGCTGCTTATGGAGCTCGTGGGCAGTCACCACACTCTCTTTATTATGACTTGCGAGGAAGAGGTTCACTGATGGGAAAGGTTGGCTTCCCTTGTCGCCGAATTCTCCAATATTCTTTACCAATGCCCCATGGGCAATTGTGTTATATGCGTTATCCGTTTCTGCTTTTGTATCGTGGATCAAGGACCGTTCATCAGAGGCCATGTATGCACCTCTCACAACCTTGAGGCCGAGCGTGAACCCCTCTTCTTTGGCTGAAGCAAGGTCTTTCATGAGCCTTGCTGGTGTGCTCTTCAGGTATGCTTGGTAAGTGTTGTAAATGGAAGCATATCCGTCGCGGTTATATTTGCGCATGAGATCCAAGGTAATACGATGGATGCCCTTTTGGAAATGCTGGGACTCGGCGTCGACGACGACACGAACGTTCTTGGCTTTGCACTTGGTACAGATTTCGTCCAGTGCGTCTATCATCTGTTGTGGTGGCAATTCTCCGGCGGCGAAGGCTTCAGTGACCTTGGTCCCGGCACCAGTCAATCTATAAAGCGTCAGTCATCATGTCACCCGAAAGTGAGATATCAACATACTTAACTGCGAGATAATCTTCTCCCTCCAGCATATCAACTGTCTTGACTGTTCCTTCCCGCCAAGATTCGATGCTGGGACACTGCAGGACCGGAGCATCGATGGAGACATCTCCATGCTCACTTTTCGAAGCCGCAAACCCCAGCCCATGCTGAGAATTTGTTTTATGATCAAACACAGTTTCTTTGGCGTATGTCATGATCACGCCGCGGAAGCCCATATCTTTTATTTCCTGCATTGTGGATTTGACTTCGGCGCTATTCTCTCCAGCACAGAATTGATCGTAGAACGTCTTCTTCAATATTTTATGCAATAGAGGATTCCGATCCACATCAAAGAGCCAGATTCGGTTAGGCTTAGAGAGGAAGGACATAACAGAAAGGGCGGGGATGAGGAAGTATCTCTTCGATGATACTGTGGAAACCAGCAACGATCTGAGCAAGACACGGGCTGGTAAAGCGGAAAGAGGTGACGAGGAAGCATTAGGGACTGCTTTGGACTGTGTGTGTGCCGCATGTGCTTGTGCTTGCAGGGTTGAAGTCAAACGCAGTTGCATCGACACATTGTTCGTTGGTAGGGTGCATCTCGTAAGAGCCGTGAGAGGCTTTCCAGGAAACAAGGCACCCATTTCTTGAGATGAATACTTGAAACCGAGATATTGCTCGTGCCAGGCCTAGAGACTGAGCCAGCTTCTTTATCCTTTTGATCTATACCCCTCGCACCGTATCAAGTAGCATCTCGGGCAGGCGTCCGATATCTCTGATAACAGACATACTCCAACATGCGGGGTTAATAGTCGTTCGTGCTGAACATGCGCTCTACAGAGATGGCAATTGATCCCAGATGCCCGCTTGAAATCTGCTTTTTAATTGGTGTTCCAGAGAATTCGATCGTGGGTTGCTTGCACGGGAGAGTTGCCGGTGGCGGGGTTTCTTGTGCTATCAACGGTTTGCTTACCGATAACATTTAGATCGTTAAGACGAATGATGTTTGGCATAATCATCTGGATTTACAAAAGGTTATCACATTATGTTATCGAAGTTCTTCAGATGCGTGGAAAAGCAGGTGAGGACGTGCGTCCAAGACCTATGGAGTTGATGCCCTAGAACACTTGACATAGCACCAGGTCGGTATCACCTACCTAACTCCAGACAATTACTCAATAGCAAATAAACAACACAAGTAATCTCCGGCAATATTGTTGACCTTTCCCTGCTGCAAACAGTCTCATGAAAGGCAACTTGAACATAAGGTCATGACAGCACCACAGTCACAAGAGTCACATCAATCCAGACAGAAGTATAGACCATAATCATCTTTGACTTGTTCGCTAAATTCAAATCATATAAACAAGCTGTAATGTTCAATTCCCCATGAGTCACCAAATGCCCAGAACTACTCTGGCCGAGGGATGCTCTGCATGTCGGATGAAATCGGGGCGATTAGGGTTTCAGGGCGTGAACTTCTCCTTACAGCCACAGCTTCACTACTACAGTTAGCGCTAATATCAAGCTTACACTGTATATCCGAGAACACCTCGTTCTCAACAGAAATCAACAAGGTGGGTGTTGAGTCACGGTCTACATTGTGCATCGTAGGAAGCAGAACTCTTGTGGGATAAAAGGTTGCGTTCTCTGGTCCAATCCCAAATCAAAACATTGTATAGTTCTCTTTTATACTTCGATCTCCTTAAATCACATTCTTTCTCAAATTGCTTCATAGCCATGACCATGAGCCTTCAAACTGGCATGGTGCGCCTTTCCTTTGCGCCCACTCGTTCTCAATGCATCTCAATCCAAACCCCAAGTCTTGTCCGATGTGCTGGGCAAAGCCGATACAGGGGCACCGGTATATCTGCTCTGGCATCTATCAAGCGACATCATACAACAGACACACAAGTCAGTCAAAAGTCTTCATGGACTCACCCCATGTAAGTCCAATCAAGTGACCTACCAAACATATAAATATCTAACATACCCTTCTCAACAGCTATTCAAAAGAACAAATCCTCGCCGTCCGTACCGCCCACCGCCAAGCCCACACCTGGCAAGATAAAACAGCGCTCATAAGCGTACGTTTCTTACGCTGGGGTATGGACCTAGTTTCAGGCTACCACTCCCAACCAACAACAAGCAACACCCTCTTGAAGAGCAACGTGATGACGGAAGAGAAGTGGATCACAAGATTCATCTTCCTGGAAAGTGTCGCCGGTGTCCCGGGTATGGTAGCAGGAATGCTTCGTCATTTGAAAAGTATTCGAAGAATGAGAAGAGATAATGGATGGTAAGACTTCCTTCCCTATCATGTCTTATCCTATCCTATAAACCTACCACCTACACTACACCCACCTACAATCCAACAAAACCTAACGAAACCCAGGATCGAAACCCTCCTCGAAGAAGCCTACAACGAAAGAATGCACCTCCTAACCTTCCTAAAACTTGCCTCCCCAGGCCCCCTAATGCGCCTAATGGTCCTAGGCGCGCAATGCATCTTCTTCAGTGGTTTCTCCTTAGCATACCTAATCTCCCCGCAAATCTGCCACCGATTCGTGGGATATCTAGAAGAAGAAGCAGTGATCACATACACCAAGGCAATCCAGGACTTCGAGAACGGCCATCTACCCGCTTGGAAGGAATTGCAGGCTCCAGCCATGGCTGTGAAGTATTGGTCGATGCCTGAGGGGCAGCGGTGTATGCAGTCGCTTTTGTTGTATGTGCGTGCGGACGAGGCGAAGCATCGGGATGTTAATCATACGCTTGGTAATTTGGATCAGGATTTTGATCCGAATCCTTTCTCGGCGAAGTTTAGGGTTCCGGTTTCTGTTAGGGGGGTTGAGAGGGGGGTTGAAGGGTTTGGGGAGTTGAGGGAATTGAGGGCTGGGGTTGATCGGAAGGAGGTTTGATGTGTTGGCCTTTTTCTGTCGATTTGATGTTGTTTGCTCTTTGGTTAGACTTGGTTAGAGTTAGAATGCTTTTTTATTGGCTTTGCTATTAGGGTACAAAGTTATTCATCATAGGGCATTCGCCTGCATAGATTTGCCGCTGGACCTTTCATTATCGGACTTCTTGTTACCGGGTTCAAATTCTACTTTGGGATAACGAACCCTATAGGTTCTGTGAACGTGTCGGGTGCCTCGTGAAGACTGGCGGGTAGGCTGCCGTGGCACGGGAAGGGTCCCGGGATGTCCAAAACCGTACAACATTGGCTTAGTCGATAAGCATGCTGTGTTTGAAGGTTTCTTCTCGCTAATGACACTTGCCTTTTGATAATTCAAGAGTCCAGGTGACCTAATAGCGGTGTACACTTGGAATGGCTTGGCGTATGCGAGATAGCTTGGCATGTAGTCCCCTTTAATGGGTGGTTATGACCTATCTAGAAGAATCCAAGAATCCTTGTTTACACACAAAAAATGAGATTTCAACGTTAGCATTATTGTACTGGTTACGTGTAGGACCGAAAACATTTGAGTAGAACGCTTGGGAATCCCCAAGTAACTCCATTTGGTTGGGATGATAGAGAAGAGAGTACGGAGATACATGCAGAAGACGACCATAGTAGATAAGAGACGGTATTGTATCATAGATGCTTCCAAGGGCTAGCGTTCCAGCTTGACTAGAACCCATTGCAAAGCCCCGAAAAACCAGGTGTATCTGGTGTCCCTCGTGACTTAGCGCCTGATTAGGCGACCATGAAGTGGCCTAGATCGGCCGTTCCTCCTATTTATCCCAGTGCGTCCATCGAATCTGCAAATTGGGATTGGCTCGGCGCGTTTTCTGTTGCCAGATGTTCCCATATGATGGGCGGTCAAACCGTTCCGGTTCTAGACTGCGCCGAGCTCAGCTGGGCATCCATACCGGGGCCATCGGGTCCGGGAGATGGTGCATGACTTGTTTCTGTTGTTGCAGAGCTTTGTGTGCTTAACCAATTCAAAAGTTGTGTAGGTTGTCACGCTGCTGCTGGGCTGAAAATCGTTGTCGTTTGCATTACCGGTCAGCGATCGGGGTCGAGACCATGACAGTGATGTTGACATTTATCGCAAGAGTTGAGATCAATTTCGAAGAGATAATAATGGTCACGCTTAATAGCTTTGAGCTGATACCGCGGCGGGCTGTGATACGTTAGCAGCTGGACAACATCGGGGTGCATCTGGGAAACCATAGGGAGGCTTCGGCTGGTCGCACGAGGCAGTGGTGATCCCTTGGCAGGAGATGCAAAAGGTGAGGGGCTTGCTTACAGGGCTGTTCAGCATGCTGTTGCGCTTGTTGCGACCCTTCTTAATATGGTTCTTCAGGGCGGTTGAGTCCAGCGGTTTGAGAAGTTCGAAACTGCAAAGCAGTTCACCAGAGACAGACATGATCGCGCCCCAATTATCGAATTCACCGCAATACTAAAAAAAAGTCAGTTGTGTTCCTGAAAAACAAATGAGGAAGCTCACATTAGGTGCTGAGAAAACGGTTACTAGAATGCGGTCCTGGTAGAACTCATAACCATCTTCGACCACCATGTGTGCACGACAAACTAGGTCGAAGTCATGGCGTTGCAAAAAGTTCATGATCACCTTCTTTCCGAAGCAATAGCTGACACCTCGTTCATTAGGCTCCCAATCTTCTTCCATGTCTGCTGGATCACTCCACAGGAGATCATTCAACAGGCCATAGTCGGGTACATCGGTGGGACGAGCGATACCTCGGATGTCGTCCATGTGGGAGAGACTGGGTGAGAGGCCACCGTGAACACAGAAAATCTTGCCGGCCACAATCGCAGCGATGGGAAGGCAGTTGAAGGTATCGATGAAGGTCTTCCAAACCTTGATGTTGCAACGGCGCTTGCACTCGTCATAGAATCCATATACGCGCGTGACGTTGGCGCACTCGTGGTTTCCTCGAAGCAGGAAGAAGTTCTCGGGGTACTTGAGCTTATAGCACAGTAGCAAAAGAATAGTCTCCAGACTCTGCTTGCCTCGGTCGACATAGTCGCCCAGGAAGAGGTAGTTTGAAGCAGGTGGGAAACCACACATCTCGAAGAGCCGAATGAGATCGGTATATTGGCCGTGGACATCACCGACAATCTTCACAGGAGCAGAAAGCTCCAGCAAAGCAGGCTGGGAGAGGAAAAGCTCACGGGCGGCTGTGCAAATGGCAGTAATCTCTGCGTTCTTCAAGCACACGGTCTTGGTAACCTTGGCAGAATATCCAGCATCCAGAAGTCGCGTGATCATGTCGTCCAAGTCAATTGACTTCAAGGCACCCATGCCCATTCCGGGGGAGCCAGAGGTCTCCAAAGGCGCATTCAAGATGAAGTCCAGGATAGGGTTCAGCTGGTTCTCGCGCTTCATCAGAATCGATTCACCAACAGCTGGCGCGGCTCCGGTCGGGGGGCCACCAGAAGGAGGACCTTCAGACACGTGGTCCACCTCACCGCTCTGCTGCATCGCATTCACATCCTTATGTCCTTTCTGTAAACTGGTAGAAAGCGAAGGAGACGGCGGGAGTTGAGGAGAACCGGGTCGGGAGGCGTCTTCGGAGCCAGGCGTCTGGGGAAGACCTGCATTGGAGCCAGGGCGGCTGCCCCCTGACTTGGCCGACTTAATTGAACCAACATCAGATTTGTCGGTCTGGCTTTCGGTTCGAGAAAGGGCAGTGGTAGAACCACGAGGGCTGTCAGAGCTCCGAGCGCCAGGGATTTTCGATCGGATTGAGCCGCGGAAGGAGCGAAGAGATTCCTTCGTATCGGATTTGGAGAAGGATGGATAGGACTGCAAAGGGTCGCCTGAAGCGTTGCCCTTGGAATGTGACTGACCCATGATTGCAAGGCTTGGATGACTGCCAAGCTTGGGTTGGAAAAATTGCACAAACGAAGGATGTTCAAAGTGCTACGCCGAGAAAAGCCCCTTTTGTGTTGGAATGTCTTGGCCCAAGCTCCTTCACTGGTATATTAAGCACGGGGATGTTCTGCAAAACGGTCCGATGTGGGATCTGCGAACAGTGATTTTGACAACCCCAAGCCAAGTCGGAGGGATGCGGATGGAGGAAAGCGTAGAAGCGATCACCGTTGCAAGTGGAACGGTGAAATGATCAGATGGAGTCAAATATCTAACAAGCAATCCGACTTATGGCGGCTGCAGACAGAGGAGGTGTCAGAAGGTGAGAAAGGTCAAAGATAAGTGGAGGGCTGGAGCTCCGAAGCGGCAGGCTGAGAAGCTCTCCTGTGCAGTGGGTTAGCCTCTTTTACAGGCAATGCAAGCGCGGGATAGCAGGGCTGAACTCCACCAAGACCCAGATGGCATGTGGAGGTTTGGAGAGGTAGAAAAAGCAAGGGGAGGAGGTGGTGGATTTGCGGGTAGAGGAATGCGTCATTATGTACGGGGTTTGGACGGGAGTATTTATCCACATCGACGCAGGCGGTACCATTAACGCCACGAAGTTGTACTTACTGAAAGGGGAGCACACAGAAAGAGATCTCCCAAAAAGATATAGAAAGGGAAGAAGTGAGGAGCAGAGAGCATGGGAGAGGGGAAGACTCCGCCACCGCCAGAGAAAGTCGATCTGCTATGTTTTTGGCCACAGCGGTCTCGATTCGGTGATCTCGGAGGATCTCTCGGTCCGGTCTATACAACAAAGAAGTCTGGACTTGGATATTTATAACTTTTGAGATGTTAATGTATTACGCATAGATATAGAGAGAACCAGTTGTGAGGAACCTACAGTGGGGAGTATCTAACTTTTTCTCCAGCTTCACACTCCAAGAATAGCCGAAAATATCGTACTTTTGATTATAACTTATTTGTGCGCCCTTGCCGTTGATCTTATGATATTATTCTTTTTGCTCTTTCACAGTTACAGACAAACACATTCTCCGTTAGCGCGCGATAAGCGACTCAACTCAGTTTCTACTACGTACATGCATTTAGATTTGAATTTGGACCACCTGAAAAAGACCAGTGCAAATGAACTTGGAGAGCCAGTCAGACACTCGAAGCTTTTACCGAACCTACCCGGCCATTGGCAAGGCCATCCACCTGGAGCTTGGACCCCGCAATGCCTCCTATCAGAAGGGACAGAGATTAAGGTGCAGCACCACTGACTCAACGACTCGAATCCAGGGTCTGGAGCAAGATAGATCACATCCCGAGGAGAACGTGTTGCTGCATGCCTGTTGGCGGTTTCCGCACATATTGTATCGGCGAAAGTCCGTTAAAGGACAAGACACATCCCACCCCTGGCCTGCTCGCAGCGGAAGCGGACAGGAGCCACAGATAGTCTTGGTTCTGCACGAAAGGAACACTTACTGCGTGCCAAGGTATCTCTGTGTGCGGGGACACCGCCTTTTTCCCCCTCCATCCCTGCTAATCCAGAGCACCTGCCAATCGCTCAGTGATATCGAACAGCGGACCTCCTGGCCAAGCCAAGTGTGATGCAGCTGCAGTGTTCCCTGTGCCACGTTGATAGAGCAGCGGGCGCCAGGGCCCGTAAGGCAGACCTCCTTGGCAGCCGGACGCCTAACCACGTGCTAGCGGAGCAAGGACCAGGATGACAAGGGCATAGGGTAGGGACAGGGGACAAGGGACAAGACTCCAAGTGCGGCGTAGTGGGAGCTTGGATGTGATAGGTTGCGACCACCGTGCTGGTCTTGGGTGATGGAGCCAGGTTTGTCATTCGAGGATGGAGTAGAGACCACTCCCCGAAACAGGAATATGAAGGCCATGTGGATACGAGTTTGTATTGGAGCCTAGAGGTTTACTCCAGCTCGATTTTCGTGATATGACGCCCCGGGATCACAATGAGGCCTATGAGCCGGCTCGTCATGTTCACCTTGACAGTTGCGCTCTTTGCTTCTGATCCTTCGGCCTGTTCTTTCTCGTTTACGGCGGCTTGTACGGCGGATGTGGTTGGCATGCGATATTCGAAGGAATTAGCGAGGATGATGTTCCGGTCCTGTTGAGATTGATCAGTCCAGCTCAGAGTGTCCGTCCTGTAGGATCCCGCAAGTGACCACTTACTGCATCGGTACACTTGAAGAGCCCGACAAACATCCGAGTGTCTGTCGTGTGAATCCGCAGTGAACGACCCAGTAGCCTCTCCAAGTACTGAGTACCTTGGCTGTTGTCCATGGTTGGCGGGGTGCTCGTGTCAGCTGCTGAGTTCTACTGCACCAGGTGAAGTCCGAGTGTCAAGCTGAGGAGTTGTCAGACTCGGGGGAGAAGAAGATGGATGTAGATTTTATGGACGGATTAAATGGTTCTCATGGCAGGTTTGGGGTTTCTTCAGGTGATGGTTCAATTGGAAGGACGACGTGCGCAGTTGGGCAAACGACCGTTAGTGGAGCCTGAGGCCACAAGCTCTGACCAAGCACATGTATAAATTTGAGTTGGGAAACATACTGATATATTTTGGAAGTAAAATAGCTCTCTAAGATTCTCAATTTATTTTTGTTCGATTCTTACAGCGCTAGTCAACGTATACTACTTCATTTCCTGTCTACCTCGGCGCTGTTCTTTTGAAAATGTAGAGCTTAAATAACCGGAATTAGACTAGGTATGTGGCTAATTATGTTCACTGAAAGCTATAGCCCATGATCTTTCAATTATTCCCGAATCGCCTTCAACGCCAAAGACACGAAACGGAGCTTTCGTGTCGGAAAAGAAGAATCTCAATGCTGGTTATAGCCTAAAACACCCTGCCTTAATATCCCAATAGGTATCACGAAAGAAGGAGAGGCGAACGTAAGCCTCTCCGCATATAAACACCAGCAGCTATGATGGTCACGAAGTCGCGTGCAACCAAATCATACCCACGCCATACCCCCAACCCAGTTCTTGGACAACTGGCCGGATCCATCACTTCCACTGCCACTGTCCATATCCATGTCCATATCCACGTCAGCGTCCATCTGATTGAACCCGGGGCTATTGCTGTCACTCGTGCTGGAGCTGTCCACCGGGTTCATCTGGTCAAACGCCCGACGCCGAAGACTGTCCTCCTGGGCCAGAGCTGTCTCATTTGCGCGAGGCGCAAGTGCTTGACGGGATGGTCGGAAGGAAGATGATTGCTGGGGTGTTGGTTGGAAGAACCGGTGTAATGTTTGCTGCCGCGGGTCAACCTCCTCGGGTGTTTCGACAGTGGGTTCTGAGTCCATTGTATCCATTTCGACCGTACGTGCAGGCACTTGCACTTGCTGCTTCTGGGCAGAAAAGATCCAGCGTAATGTGTTCTCTGTGGTCTGTCAGCAAGGTCGAACGACAATGCGATCAAGGGATGGCAAATTGGGGCCAGAAAGAAGCACGTACGGTAAATCACTTGGTCGCTGGGACGGTCATCTCTGAAGCGTTTGCGTGTCCGGCTGTGAAGGTGATTGTTTCCATCGATCATCGAAGCCCATTCGCTGGGGGCCGGAATTGATGGGCTGGATGGGACAGCTGCGATTTCAGCTTTGCGCTTGAGGGACATGGTAGCTGGTGAGAGGATAAGCTGGAGGAATTGAGTGTCCAGAGTCTGAGTCTGAGTGAGATTGAGAGGAATAGAAGGCTGGACTTTGAGAATGCGATTGGCTAAGCGCGTCATTTACGGGCTTCGCGTTGCATTCTGGTCACGCTAGTCCGAAACAGGCAATATAGCTTGTGTTGCTTCTACAAGTTTAGTTGATGCTCATTTCTACAAGAATCACCGGGTCTAACGGTAGAAAATTTGATTGTATTTGCCATAAATAATCGTAGGGAGCTGAGCGTAGATATGAAACCCTGTCTATACCACCACCCGACATCCCTCACACCTACTCATTCCACTGGTATTCAGGACTACATTTCAATATCAAACATTACATGCCCTTGGAAGAACCAAGATTCTAGCAAATTCCAAATGGCCGACTCGTTAGAGTAAAATATGTAACATATGGGTCCGAGCCATATGGTCTCCATTATACGACTTGAAGTCACTACGTGCTTTAAATAAGATAAAGAAGCTCGGCCACTGGGACTGACTTCGGTTCAGGAACAAGCGTGTCGCCTTCATCTCCATATTGGAGCTTGCCGTTGGGGGGATCCCAAGATCCCCACCATGACGATGGCTCCCCGCTTCTTTATCTCCCCGAGCTTCACATCTTCCACCCATCTAGAACTAACGTTACGTTATATTTGCGACAAAACATGCCTTCCCGCCGCGCATCTCACTCTGGGTCATGGTATACAGACAATGGCCGTGCCCTGGCCCGGCAGCTGGACGGCTGGCTGGGACTGGTGCCGGATACGATGGACAACGTCGGTTCGCTGCCAACCGCGGGGGCTAGAGTGATCATCGCACCGTATGAGACCCTCATCATCTAGCAGGGTGAGCTTCAAAACAATACTAACCAACCAGGCATGCGGGTTATTCATACTCTGGGCCCTGTGCCGCCTACGCATACAAGGCCCTGGATCTCTCGAAGGCGTATGCTTATCTCCCCAGAGCCATTCCACCAACCTCCAATGCTAATGAAACTAGGAAGCGGATCTTTATCCTGGGGCCATCGCACCATGCTGCACTCTCAACGCTGGCTCTCCCAACCTTGACTTCCTACCGTACCCCTCTATCCGATGAACCCCTCCCACTAGATACCGAGCTGATCACCCAGCTGTTCGCAACACAGGCAACCAGACCCAACGGGTCCAAGGTTAGCTTCACAACCATGACAAAGTCCGTCGATGAGGCCGAGCACAGTATTGAGATGCATCTACCGTACATCCACCGCTTGCTCCAGCTTCAATACCCAGATGCCCCGACCTCAGAGTATCCCCCTCTGGTCCCAATCATGGTGGGCAGTACCTCGGCTGCAACAGAAAAAGCATTTGGTAAACTCCTCGCTCCCTACCTGGCCGACCCATCCAATGCGTTTGTCATAAGCTCGGACTTCTGCCACTGGGGTCTTCGGTTCCGCTATACATACTACGTCCCACAGGCTCCCAAGCCCGGGCCGTCACTCCCTTTGTCTAGTGACCAGCTTCCGCAGCCAGGAGCGGATGCCAACAGCGTCAGCGGTAGCATCGAGATGGTTTCGGCTGGGCATTCTTTGCGCCACCGAGATCGTATCTCGAGTCGTGAGCCTGCCATTCATGAGAGTATCTCAGCGTTTGACATGGCGACTATGGCTGCTATCACCACCGGATCTGCAAACAATTTCCTGGACGTCATTGATCGCACGGGTAACACAGTATGTGGGCGTCATCCGATTGGGGTGATCATGGTAGCTCTGGAAAATGTGACAGTCAGTCAACCAGCGGACAAGCAAGGGCGTTTCTACTTCTTGCGTTATGAGCGAAGCTCCGATGTTAAAGATGTGGACGATAGCTCTGTCAGCTACGTTTCTGCCTTTGCGGTGCTTTAAAATTATATCACGTCACGTCTTTCAGAACCGAAGAATCTGTCCAACTTGCTTTTCTTCTGATAACAATAGTATCAAGTTTAATGAATGGTCATGAAATAACGCAAATATCTTACGGACGAGCTTAACCCCCGTAGAATATTAGCCCTCCGGGTACAACTGTGATCATCGCGTGCCTACCTCAAGGATGAGGACATTTCTGCTGTGTGATGCAACGTAGCACTCGCCCTTGAAGCGCCGTAATCACCGGCATAGACACTTGGCACATGCTAGCACAGGTTCAGCAGGAGATCTTTCCCCAGGTTCCCAAAATTGTAATCAGCTGGTGACTCGGTACATATCCGCAGCCTCAAGAGATCTCATGATGCAACACAGAGCATCGGTACGCTCTCGAAATCTGGTAGGTCCATGGGAATCTAACATTCAACGGAACAAGGCATAAGGCACGAGACCATCACAGGGCTGTCAGAATGAGGTTGCATTGTTGTTCTCGTGGGAAGTACACGTAGAACTAGAAGCATGAAGTATTTGATCTGTGTCAATTTGTTATACTTTAAATTTGAAGAGGTTATTCACAAAAAGGGTCGGGTGAAACTTGATTTTCTTGGTTCTGGGAACGCCACAATCAATTAGACATGTACATTTGTGCTTAATCAAAATTTGATTCCTCCTTTGTTCGCTTATTTCCACGTGGATTAATCTACCTGCAGAGTCGGAGCTTAGCCATCTGAGACACCTTCGACCGATTAAGTCTAGGCAAGATCTCAAGATCTCAACCGTCTGCAGCCTTATACAATTTACAGTAGATCCCAAAACTAAATCGCAGACTAGACTGGACAGAACTAGATCAAGCTGAGTAGGTCTATTCTGTAAATACAAAGTTCCAATCAACCTTATCTATCCAACATAAAACACGCCAGTCCCTGAAATTTGCCGCCGGCCAAAGGAGGCGTCGACCAACCAATCCCACGCCAAGATCCCAGGTACTTGTCTTTGTCCAAAAGCCCTTGCATTTCAATGTCCCCGTGCATATTCAGATCCGCAGGGGGAAATGTACAGTCCAGTTGCTTCATACTCACATTCCCGGATTCTAAGCGCCGAGGTTCCCCGTCTGACAGGGTGACAATGTAGCAGTCGGGACCAATCTGGCACTCTGACAGAAGGGTATCAACGTTTTGCATGAGGCATCCGAGCATTGTCGTTTGTGGATTGTGCATTGCGGATTATGGTTTGCAGGCGCATATAAAGGGTAGATGATCAGGGACAATGTGGAGTGAATGGGGGCACATTGTCAAACACACGACTAGAAGTCTATATATCAAGATTCCCATTCCCCCCTGTATTTTCTTCTTCGCATGAGCTCTGGTTTTAGTCCTTGAGATCCTTTTCTCGTTCACTCCTTTATCTTACGTAACCAATCCTTGGCTGGTCCTTAGGATTTTTATTCTCCGATGTTTCGCTTTATCTTTCTGGTCCTTATAGGGCTACTTCCTTTCATTACTGCTTCGCCTACTCCTGTGGATTTTATGAAAACGATGTCTACTCGTGATGTTGACGCCAATATGGGTAGCAGACTGGTTTTCTGTCACTTCATGGTGAGACATGTCGTCTGTTTTTGTTTTTCTTCTCTGTCACTAACAGGATCTAGATTGGTGTTGTGAGCAACCGCCAAAATGCCAGCGATTATGATGCCGACATGAAACGCGCCAAAGAAGCTGGCATTGATGCCTTTGCTTTGAATATCGGCACTGATCCATACACTGATACCCAGCTGAACTTTGCCTATCAATCTGCCGCCGACAATGACATGAAGGTGTTTATCTCCTTTGACTTCAACTGGTACAATGTCAACCAGGGCAGCGAGGTTGGCACCAAGATCAGACAGTTTTCAAGCCACCCTGCACAGCTCAGGGTCGATGGAAAGGTATTCGTGTCATCTTTCTCTGGCGACGGTGTCGATTGCGGTGCGATGAGATCTGCAGCTGGCTGCGACGTCTTCTTTGCGCCAAACTACCACCCAGGTCAGGGTGACTTCAATGATGTTGACGGTGCGTTGAACTGGATGGCATGGGGAAGTGATGGGTACAACAAGGCCCCGACTGCTGAGCGGAAGGTGTCTGTCATTGATGGAGATACCGCATACCAAGTGGCGCTTGCTGGGAAGCCTTACATTGCTCGTAAGTAATTATAGGATCTCACCTTGAATATATTGACTGACGGAACAGCCGTCTCGCCCTGGTTCTCGACGCATTTCGGCAACGAGGTCTCCTACAGCAAGAACTGGGTCTTCCCCTCCGATCTCCTCTGGTACAACCGATGGAGAGAAATCCTCGCGACCAAGCCCCGTTTCGTGGAGATAATCACCTGGAATGACTACGGCGAGTCGCACTACATCGGACCACTCTCATCGCCTCATACTGACGACGGCTCATCAAAATGGGTGATGGACATGTAAGCAACTAACCCTAACAAGGCCATTCAAACAACCCATTAACAAGGAATAGGCCACACAATGGCTGGCTCGACATGGCCAAACCCTTTATAGCAGCCTACAAGGCAGGCTCAGAGCTCCCAATAGACTACCTGGAGGAAGAAAAACTAATCTACTGGTACCGGCCAACGCCCAAATCAACAAACTGCGACGCAACAGATACAACCATGCAAAGCGCCAACAACGCCAGCGGGAACTTCTTCCGCGGCCGCCCAGACGGCGCAGACACAATGCAAGACGCCGTCTTCGTGGTCACGCAGCTGAAGGAGCCTGCCTCGGTGGAGGTGACGTCGGGAACGAACACGCAGACCTTTCAAGCACCGGCAGGGGTACGGGCGTGGACGGTGCCGATGGGCGTAGGCGCGCAGTCCTTCCGTGTCGAGAGGGATGGACAGACGGTCGAGGAACTGTCTGGGACTAGTCTGCGGGATATTGTCGACGAGTGTGTCTGTGGCATTTACAATTTCAATGCTTATGTCGGGACGTTGCCTGCTGATGCGGAGGTTGATCGGCTAGCGCCGGATGGTATGGCGCTTTTGCAGCAGGGGTTGAGGGTTTCTTGTCCGACTAATACGCTTGGGAATGGTGGTGGTGGTTCTCCTGTTCCTTCTCGTAGTGCTTCTCCCAGTCCGAGTCCGAGCGGGTGTTGTACCTGTTGAGAGGCATGGTATGGTGCAAGGTCTGTGCTGGATGCAGACCGGGTGAACAAGAGCAAAATTGTATAGATCGAGTCTAGAATTTAGCCGAGTGGAACCGATTTATTTTCTTGTCTTCTTTTTTTCCCTTATCTGGAGCTTGGCTAGGGGGAGCTATAATGTTATCTTTTCACCGACTCTTGCTTTGTTACCCCTTGACCGTTTCGGATTGTCGGGAGCTTATGCAGTCCTTTTGTAGTTCTGCCCGGTCTGATCAGCAGGCCACTTGCAATGGTATTATATTTAGGTCCTATACTCCCTTTGATTTCCAGAGCTAGCTCCAGCTTCAGCTTTAACAATGACCCGTATGAAAGGGGTCTTTTCATGGGAAGATGTCCTGGCTCAACGGTATCAGAGTAAGATAAGCTCTATCTCCAACTATTAACTTACCATTCATTTGTCTACCTCTACTTCACATCTCGCCCACCCTTGCAAGTCCACAATCTATACATTTACAATCCTAACAACCTCTTTCAAGGCAACAAACCCTCCCCCCTCCCCCGCACGCGCCCCCAAATCCAATGCCCCCAACCCCAACCTCAAAGCCGGCTATTAGCACGGCTATCACCGGAGCTACGGCTCATGATCTGGGAATACGTGCTGGGAGGTCAACGCATACATATCATCCAACGAAGCCAGCAACGACTGGGGCACGTGGTATGTCCAGTTCCGCTTGACGCGGAGGCATCAACGTCGTCACCATCAGCTTCAGCTTCAGCTTCAGCTTCAGCATCAGCGTCACCGTCACCGTCACCGTCACCATCAACCCATCATACCAGTCGGAATACCGAGCTATTCTGCGAGATCTGTCATGGCGGTGGTATACCCCAACCAGCAAAAGAAGGTGACCTCGCGCGCCGGAAGAAGAGTATGCTTCTTGGCTTGGCGTTGAGTTGTCGACTGATGTATGTTTTCCCATATCCAACCCATACCTACCCAACCCTAACCTATTCTTTCAACACAGCTACAAAGAATCAATCCAAAAACTATACACCCACCCAACCCTAGAATTCAGCAATCCCTGGACAGCATCCTACATGCGCCCAACAATTCCCCCAGAATCATGGTCCTCCATCCGATCCGTCGAACTGCGCTGGTCGTTCCCGGGCCATTGGCTCCCGAGCAAAGATCCCGTAAGAGCGATCTATGTTTCTGCTGGACGGGCGCAGTGGATTGAGACGTGTGCTGCTTTACGGGCGTTAAGTGGGTTGAGGGGGTTCGTGCTTGTTCTTGGGAGGACTTGGTTTGCTGAGGAGTTGGGGGTTTTGGGTGTTTTTCTGGAGCCGCTTTTTGGGCTGGGGGTTAGGGATAGAACGGGGAGGAGAGTCTCGGTGGAGGAGGAGGACAGGTTTTCTGACGGATCTGCTAGTTCTTGTAGTTCCGATGGGGAGGATTGGGGTTGGAGTTTGCGGTCTTCATCTTCTCTTGGTTCTATTTCTTCGGTTTCGGAGGGTGAGGTGACTGATCCTTCTCCTTTTTTCTCCTCCCCTTCTTCATGTTCTTTCTCCTCGTCTTTGGCTGGCTCTATATCCAAGAGAAACACCCCCGATATAACCCTTAACACATACACCAGGGACATGGGTAAGTGGGAACTCCGCCTGGAAAACCAAAACTACTACACAAACGAACTATGCAAGATCGAAAAAGATCTACAAGCGAGAGGGATAAATTGCAGGATTACAGCGGTGTGAAAAGTGAGCTCGAGTATGCACATCAATGGCGTGATTTACATATTTTGATAGTATTTTATTCTTTGTTTTATTTCTTATTCTTTATGTATCAATTACGGAGTAATTGATCTTGATTTACTGATTATTCTCCTAACTCTTGCCGATCCCCACGTTCTAGAACAGATGGTACGTGTACACGATATAACGCTATGTGTCAGAGCAGGACTGGTTTTTGGAATTAATTTGCATTGTTGGGCTGGGTGGTGGACAGTACATGTAAGACACCGTTGCAGATCGGCGTGTTGATCACTCTATGGAGAGTCCCCGGGTACGCGTTTGGATTACTTGTACCGCATGGATTACTGTAGGGAGTGCATACTCGGATACTGGTATCTGTAGATGCACAGGTACAGTAAATATATATCCTTGTGTGTATGTTATAGATCAATAAAAAGCACCATATAAACGGATACAACAACCAATGTTACAATTGACATTCCATTCCGCGTGCCCCTTAGCCCTAGAACTAGAGACCCTAAAGTGAGACCCTGGACCCACGGGCTATAAATGGAAATTACAAGTAATTTGAACTTACGGACCCTGCCTTGAGCTTGAGGAATGATTGAAAACTTGATATAGTTGTATGATATCACTATCCTGTCAATGTACATGTACGGAGCTTATCTGATTCTTTCATTCCGTCCGAATCAAGGGTGTATGTGTGATGTCGCCAGGGGCAAAAAACCTGTCCCCCCAGCCCCACCGGCCAGGGGCGCTAAGAGCGCGGGGGAGATCGCACATCATAATCAAACCGGTGCTGCTGGTATTTTCGTGGTATTGGTATTGGGATACGAGAATTGAGTGTAGGGAAAATAGTGGTATTGAATAGGGTCATGCCCTGTAGATATAGAAGTAGAAATAGAAGTGAAATGAAAACATAAAGACCCAAAAAAGTGGTCAGGTATAAGAAGAAACGAGTAAGGAAAAGAAAAAGATCGAGCTAGCAATCCAGCCAGGATATGCAGACATGCAAAAGTAAAGAAAATATCATGAGAGAATTGGGTGCGTGACTCATACAACATGTGCAGGCAGTTCCCAGAAAATATTAGAAAGGTAGATAGGAAAGAAACAGTTGAACAATGATCGTCACCAAGGGCGCCGTGCAAAACCATGCCTAAGCCAAAATGATGCGAAATATCCCGAAAGCCCATGTTAAAGTGCAAGATGTGAAACTCTGGCTCCAGATGTGGTATCTCAAAGGTAAGGAAATAATGTCTCGTGTCGAGTAGTAGAGAGATTGTGTGATCGGTGACCAGGGATAGTGGTAAACATTGCCAGCCATGGATGGGCAGGTAGACCTGCTCCAGCCGAGTCCGCGGTCGCAGATGCTTCATCCTATGTGTGCATAGCGTGATGTGGTGCTGGCGACTCCAGCGGCGCGGGCTGGTCGCCCAATGCGACCGCAGTGGCCTTGGTCAATGAGTCCGCTACGCCGAGGGATTGGATGAACGTCGATGCGCCTGCCAGTCCTCCATATGACAGGAGGCTGTATATCCGGGTCGCTAGATCGTTAAGAGGTGAGGTTGAAGGAGTCCCTTCAAACCAAAGGGTATATTGCCAGATACCGGTTGGGTTTACCGTCCCTCGGGGGACCGATCGGGGCCCGTGTTGCCGTGGCCTCTGGCGGCGAGCCATTCGGTCGATGCGCCCTGGCGAGCACCGGGGTGCTTCTGATCCTCAGGGCGACCGACCAGGTGACGAGGGAGCATGTTGTTGATCTCTGCTGCCAGAGCAGAGGCCATGTAGCATCGGAGCTCCTTCTCTTCGCGCTCATCCTCCTTCTGTAGGCGGCGCAGGTCGGTCGCCTTCAGCCCTTCGCGGCGCTTTCGTCGGATTTCGTGAATTGACCAGAGAACAACCTCTTCGGGTGCGCGGGTGCGAGGGCTTCCGTGGCGAGAGAAGCTGCGGACGTAGCGGCGGGTGACATCGGTCGCACCATCGATAGAGAAAGCGACACAGTAGGATATCTTACGTTGCCATCCTGATGAACAATTAGTATCAAGTAGTCTGGACAGATGACAGATAACGAACCTTCGGTGTACAGGCGAGGCTGGTCCCAGGCGCCTTCACAGGCGTCAACATGGACCCAACGTCGCTGGTGTTCCGAGTACACTTCAGTCCAAACATAATCCTCCGAGTTCCAAACCCAGCGGACACGGGCGCCGACCGCACGACAGAACATGCTGAAGCAGTTGGCCCATTCGCCTACACGACCCCGTCGGGACTGTAGCAATTGCCAAACATCGGAGTATCGGGGGAATCGTTCGTGGGCGCCACAGCTGTTATCGGAGCATCGGTACAGCTCGACTCGGGATGCGCCCCGGGCCGTCTCATCGGGTGTGGGTGGTGTCATGCCTTGAGCGATGGTCGGCATGTGGCACTTCGAGCACGGGGGGTTGTTCACGAATTGGAAGAAGGATCCCTTGAACCACCTGGATAGCTATGTTAGTAAGGGCGCACTGAGTCTAGACCGTTGCGGAATTCCAACATACCTCAACAATGCTCGAATCACACAATCTTGATAGCCCCATTCCGGTTTCCCGCCCACGCTGGCGGCCTGGGCTTGCATGATCTGGGATTCCTCCTCGGCTTCGGAATACAAGCGATCGAGTGGAATGACGCACAAGGCCTCGTCGAGAAGGCCTGGATTTTCGTATTTGGTTGGTGTAACGGATAGCCCCTTGAGTAGGTTAAAGAACTTGAGCGAGGCTGGATCCTGAGGTGGCGATGGGAATACGGGGAGGCCACGCAGGGCGGAGTTCGATGGCTTCGGTGAAGCAGCGGGAGCACCGGCTGATGGAGGTGGAGGTGGCGCCCGTGAGGGAGGAGGCGGAATCGATGGACTGGACATAGTAAAAGGCGCTGGAGATTGGGTGCGCGATCGAGGCTGTGACTGTTCTTGAAGGCGGTTGAAACGCTTGGTACGCATCAACTGTTCGAATTCGTGGGTGAGAGTAGTGGCATCGTAGTCCTTCGCGGTCGGCTGTGCCGACCTGTGTCTGCCGTCCGCCATGGTCGAAAGGGAAGTCCCGGCAGACTTCAGTGAGTATTGAAATCCAGGATGACTCGGCGATGGGCGGAAGGGTCAATTTGACCCAAGATGTGTAGATGAAGAAAGGGAGAGGAAGAGTCAAGAAGGGACTGCCACCGAGGTTGACGTATGAAAACCAGTGTCAGGAGGAAGAGAGAGAGCATACGCAGTATTACGAGCGTCGTCAGCGTCTCGCCCCAATCACGGGCCCCGCGGCCAAGCCGCGTGTGCGAAACGGAAAGCCAAGAAAAGACCCTTTTTCTTGTATTTTTCCACTCTCTTACGTATATATTTCACTTGGCATTTATTATTATAGAGTACTTAGTGTCTATTATTCGCGTTGTGTTATCTTTGATTATTTCTCAGCTGCTGTATATTTTCATTCCTTATTTCTATTCTCTGATTTATTGAAATAGATGTATACAGTACAGATTAATAACTACGCGCGGCCATGGGACGAAAATCGCACTTCGCAGAGTCTTTGCCCACCCAAAGGCTGGAGACGCGCAAGCGTCCGTCTTGGCATTTCGCAAGATCGGGCTAGAGCCTCCACCGCCCTAAGCCTGATGAGGCGGTGCTGACTGTGTTCGGCACTATGAAGGGGGGCTTGGCACTGTAACATGGAGATCTAAGCTATAGTATAAGCTCTGGGTATGTCGATATTGTAACTTTCGAGTTATGTTCTGGTTACTACCTTATACATGTCCCACTCATGGCCATTAGGGCTATATAAATATGGACCTGCCACGCATACATGCACTCGTTCCCAATCACAGCCTTCCGTTTCGCTTTTCCCGAAGACCCTGAAAACTAGTGGAGTCGAGTTGGCTCTCAGGGTTGTCTCCTATCGAGTCAGGCAGAAATAATACACTTCTGTTCGTTCCGTGGCTCACTCCCGATCTACATTCCGTCTCCAGACATTGTCTTTGGAACATCTTCAAGACGCGTATTGATCCATGATCCGACGTGTAGAGATTTCGAGACGCTATGATTCTATACTTAGCACTCAGTTGGGCTACGATATTAATGATCAGGTACGGGTCGTGGGTCGTGGGCTGGTATCTGACCCAGTATGGTTACAACACGGCATGTAACAAAACAACTCAGCCCTGAAATTTCCTCGGGGAATTACCTTGTTCACTTCTATCCGGGGAAACCGATCAGCCGCCGGTGTTTCATCGTCTGAGCCGCGTTTGAGAATAGGCTATGCTGGGTGGCTGTGCGACCGGACAATAGGCAACATACCAGGTAGAATATAAGAGAAGGGCTGTCACGTATCAATCTGAGATTCCACATGTTCATACATGTCAAAGTATCTATTAAGTTAACGTTACCCCTTTTAGCATGCACCCAGAAACATAATTTACATGCTTAGCTCGGATGGCGCAACCACCTGTCGCAATTGACCGGGTCCTCGGTATCGGCCAATTACAACCCAATTCCCACCTCATCGTTGACCGCATTAACGACTCGTATGCGTGATGCAAGGAACCCGTGGCACCGTCCACGGTATCCCATCCCGCGAGGGGGGAAAGAAAACAGAACAAAAAGGAAGAACCCAGCCGAGCAACGAACCAATTCGCATCGTGAAATCCCGCCAAGCGCCAAGACCCGCGTCATCCGATATTGGAAGCTAACTAAGACACTGCTTATCCTTAACGTATCTTAGCTTGACTGCCGCCAAGACAGTGTATACGACTTCATCACTTGGCTTCGACCGTCAATGTCGCGATACATCTCTCTGCGCGTCCACTGTCTATCCTTGCCAAATACTGGTACTGAGTGGCGTCGTGTCGACGCGCTCGTGCCGTCCCGAGCCAAGGAGGACACGCACGCGCCGGAGATCATGCTGTGCTGCTGACATCTTCTGGAGCTTGGCCTTGCGTTGACGTGGATCGACGTTGACGTTGGAATCTATGCATTCCTTTTTCTTGACCACGACTGTATGAGATAATAGCGTTGGACTGGGTGGATCGGTGCGTCGTGATTGATCCACTCCAGCTCCTGCACTGTCGCAAGCTCCTTCATAAGGCTTGCAAATTCTTCCGTGCGCTATCGTTTTTGGTTGTTTTGGTCGTTTTGTTGGCGCTATCTGGCGGTTTGGGCCGACGCTATCGTCGGAGCGACGTACTCTAGTCATCGTTGGTTCGAGTGTGCGCGGCTCTGGTGATGTTTTGTTGGACTAAACTCTATTGATATTCGTCTGACGTATTCCTCGGAAAGGGATGAGTACGTACGCTAGCCAATCATTTTCCGAGGTTAGGTCGTTAGTTTAGGGGCTTGGTCATGGGCTTCTACTTGCTAAGTATATTGGAACTGTCATCAGGCAGTTCCAATAGGGTATCAGGTGTCAATTGGCTTTTGCTGGTGGCTTATCTACTACTCGTCTTTCTTTGGGCTGAAACTAACTTTGAAGCCAGCCATGATGTGATGTCCTGGTGGTAGAAGCAATCTCCCTACTGGTCTTTTGTGCTTCTGGCTATTGATTTGTAAACAGTCCATTTTCCTGTAGTCACATGCAATCTTGAGACTTTCTAGCTTGGTGAGATCACGACAATGCGAACGATACAACGGACTTCATGTAGGCCCTGCATGATGCTTCATTGTTTGAAAGATGGCAGAATTTTGTCAGAAGCACCTAGATGCTATCTCTTCATAATTATCTTTGAGGGATAGAATTGACTGCCCAAACATTCCTGCAGAATCAAGCTGTCACTCGTGGCTGTTCACTTCGATTGTAATGCCTCTGGATTGATATATTGTTGACATGAGTGACCCAGCAACCCACAAAATGACTCTCTAAATATTTCCATACCAACAACATGCTATATACAACTCAATGCTTTTCTTCCGCAGAATCAGCATTAAATCCCACGGAAGGCTTATCTTTGGTATAGGGTTGTGCCTTCCCATTGAGCTCCCAATGGACTTTCTACTTCATGGTTGCAAAACCCAAGGGTTCGATATCTCACCACCCTGTACATTGTACAAAGCGCTCCAATGACGGTTTTTCTTGCGTCGATGTGAGCTGATTCCTGATTCATACCTAACAAGACTGACGTTCCATATTCATGGTTCTCAGGTTCCTCCCCTGGACCATCGACTTCAAAGCCACACCCTGTGCAGATCAGCGAGATGATTCAGTTAGCCATGCAGCTTTTGATGGCCCAGCGCCCATTGTCGGGCGCTTGTCATGTATGAATCTCAATCCGACCGACACACCAGACAATCCTCCATTGACATCCGAAGCCGTGAGGGATGACTTGATCTTCAAAGGATATGCATCAGGGCAATCGGACGATGATTGGAAAGACCCGCATCTCCAAAGTTTCGGCTACAGTGAGCGTCATGAAGTCCACTGGGGCCGAAGTCAGAGATACAACCAGCCTCGATCCACAGCAACGGGACTTCCAGGATCGCCAGTCGTGAAATTTTCATCTCCCCTGGTTCAGGAACCAATTTATCTCGCTCTGGACGGATTACACGATGCTTCACATCTTGGAGATCAAGAAAACACGTGGGCATCAGGCTCATCGGACGATGGGTGGATTGACCCGAGTCAGCGTCATCAATTCCGCTCGGGCCGTAGTCAGAGATTCAACCAGCCTCGAACCACAGCGACTCGAGCTCCAGGTTCGTCAACGGCGAGCACACTTCGCCCCCAGGCGCCATGCTTTGAACCCCAAGATGGATCATTGGACGCCTCAGCCCTTGAGGAACCAGAAAACGCATGGGGATTGCTCTCCACTGCTGAATGGACGACCAGGGCCTCCGAACAAGGCAACGGGGGTCTTCACAATGCTATTCGCGTTGGCATTCGAGAAGGGGCAATTGGCAATCAGATGTGGGTAGGCACTCTCGGCATGCCTATCGATTCACAGAGCCAACTCGGTCAGCCATTGCCATGAATATGCAAATGGTACACGATTGCTTGACAGTCTTCGTGGATGACAATACGTTCGAAGGCCACTACACTCAATTCTGTCGCTCGGTGCTTTGGCCAGTCCTTCATTACCAGATGCAAGAGGGGCCTCGCCATGCCGAATACGAAGAGTTCTCCTGGGACCAATATGTCAAGGTCAATGAGGCATTTGCCGATGTGATCATCAGGGAGTGGAAGAAGGGAGATACAATTTGGGTCTTTGATTATCACCTTCTACTTCTTCCAGAAATTTTGAGGTCACGTTTGCCCAGGCCTGATATTGGCTTTTTCTTGACCACGCCATTTCCTTCGTATGAAGTTTTTCGATGCTTGTTTTCACGCGAAAAATTGCTGAATGGAATGTTGGGCGCTGACCTTGTTTCGTTCCAGGCAGAGGAGTACCAAAATCACTTTATTCAATGCTGCTGCCGGCTCTTGGGACTCGAAACAGTAAAAAGTGCACTCCAAGTCAAGCAACGTCTCGTCAGGGTCTGGTATGAGTCTCTGCAAATTGATTCTGTCTTTCTTCAACGGGTTCGCCAAACAAGCGATGTCAAAGCCTGGATGACTGCTATTGGGAACAAATACAAAGGAAAGCGCCTCATTGCAGCGCGCGATCGACTGGATGCACCGGGAGGGGTCAAGCATAAGCTACTGGCTTACGAGAGGTTCCTGAAAAGATATCCCAAATGGAGACATACCGTGAGATGACCAAGAACTTGGCATTCTGTGTGAGCTTTGCTGAGACATGCTATAGGTTGTTCTAATCCAGGTCATCTCTGCTGCGCCTGAAATCCCAGAACTAGGGGCAGAGGTATCAAAAATTGCGACAAGGATCAACGCAAGATATTCGACTGTCGCCCATCAACCCTTGGTGTTGCTTCAAGAAGACATCAACTACTCTCAGTTCATCGCTCTACTGAGTGTTGCAGATATCTTCCTGTCAACCACCCTACGCGAGGGATTGAACCTGACCTGTCATGAATACTTCAAATGTCAAGGTCAACCGCATTCCGGAACCAGTTATGGATCAATGATCGTGAGCGAGTTCGCGGAAACCGGAGCGATCGACATTTCCTACCAATGCAACCCATGGGACTACAAGAGTTGTGCCAAAATGATCAATGAAGTACTCGAGGCGCCATTGAGGAGACGAAGACTAAAGTGGCATTTGCAGAAGAAGGAATTGGAATCTATGGAACACGGATGGCTGGACTGGCTGCAATCCAGGCTCAGCTTAGCCTGGAAGGCTCGATACCCTCCGAAGAACGACGCTTCTGCACCGATACTTCGCGCTGTGGCACATCTATATAACTCCTCGAATACACACGTGTTTTTCCTCGAAGATGGTGCCCTCTTTGGTGAAGGCCCTGGGCACATGTCATTGGAAGCCTTGGGGACTTTATCAGCCCTTGCCGCAAGCCCTAGCAACATTGTCTACATAACCAGCAGGCGGAGCAGAGTTGATATGCAACACGTCATCGCAGCTCTTCCTAGTAATATTGGGTTCATTCTCGAATGCGGATCCCTAATCAGAGAAGTTTCCTCAACCAAGTTTCATTTCTGGAAAACTGAACAATCACAAGCATGGCTGGATGGAATTTGGAACATGACGAAACACTGTCGACAGCGAGTGGAAGGCAGTTTCATTGAACAAAGAGACAACTCCATGGTCTTTCGCTACGATATGGCACTGGATTATCCAGCCGCAATTCGATTCGCCAATGACCTAGCCTACCAAGCCAGGGCTTTCCGCGGCCGCGAGTCCTACAGATCATCCACAGAGACTCTGCTGTACACGCCGAGCCCGATATGAACATCTCGATGGATTTTGCTGCAGAGCACGTCATAAATCAGCTCCCGGAAAATCTTAATCCAGAGTTTGTGTTTGTCGTCGGCGGTGTCTGCGGCACGAATGCGTTGTTTCGCTGGGCAGATGGGAAACAGCGGGAACTGCAATTACCACCCCAGCATCGAATAGACGATTCCCAGCGTCATTCTGGTTCTTTTTCATTTATTTATACTGTGGGTATGGGCTTGTATGTTGACGATGCGAGATACAAGTTGCCGATGGACAGATCACTTTTGAATATCTTGAGCTTTTTGTCTCGCCTGCCAACGCCCCTTTGGAGACCTCCACAATGAGTTTTGGGATTTTGGATTTGTTTTGGTTGGGTTATTCTTAGTGTTATTGTTATGTTGATCATCGGTGTTTTTGGATACGCCTACAAGCTGCCTTCACGGGTTGAATGGAATATTTCTCGATGTCATCCCCATTGATCGTCCATCTTGCATATAGACAGGATAATGTCTGATAAGTCTTGGCTTTCCCTTTCCGTTTTAGTGCTCACCCCATGCCGCTTTTTGCTCACTGAGTAAAACTGAGGGCCCTCGAAGCGGGCGGGTATAAGCTGATGTTAAAGGGGGGAATGGAACGGCCCCCAATTCACAATACCCAATCATTGTGTGATTTGAACCCTACACAGCCCCTGCACAGGCCCGCTTATCGCCGCGTCGAACCCTTTTCGGTCTTAGCAATGCCACATGTGCACTTATAAAATGCCCCTTCGCGTCCAACATTTAATTGCGGGGTGCTTCCTGCTTCTCGCTTCAATTTGGGTTCAAAATTAACTACTCTTCGGGATCTACTGGGTTTAGCTCTTGAAATTGTACTTTGAAGGCTGCGTGGCTGAGTACATGTTATTCCTTCTAGATCGGCATCACCATTAAATGGGGCTGCGGCTTTCTGTTGTAGGTTACATAGAAGGCCACACCCCAAGGCAATACCATCAATCATTCTGAAAATTATCTCACCCAGCGTATGTATGATCAATTTCATGTGGTCGCATATGATACTAATGGTGATCCGTAAAAGCAGACAAAGATCTCTGTTCTATAGAACACACTCCAGTCCATTGGTCTCACTAGCACCATTCAAAAGTTGTGGGGCTGCAGATACCGCATCTGATAACCCCGATCGACTACTAGTACTCATGGACTGGCTAAGAAGAATATTTACGGGCAAGAGTGCAGACGATATCGCCGCAAGAAATAGGAGGAAACGTCAAAGCAAAATCCATAGTCAACGAGTACGAGCGCGCGAAAAGGAATTAAGGCTGGCCCAAGATGGCGGTGGTGCGAAAAGCGCACGTCTATTTTGGGGCCCTCCGGGGGAAACATACAGCAATGAAAAACGGGGCAAACGACCTAAAGAGTTGCCTACTAGTGGACTTATGAGGACGAGCCACTGATCCGCGGATTCTACGGATATCATTACTGGACAACATCATTGCATTTGCTATGTCCAGGAATATCAAAATTGACGGGCTCCTTGATTATCTCGAAATATATTGTACAACCGAGCTAATGTATGTTCAAAAACCACTTTCCTTCGCTGATCAATTCGATTAGTATGCGCCTAGTATAGCCAGTCTCTCGGAGATATGGATGGTGTTCAAATGACAATGTCTATTCATCGCGTTGAACGTACTGATCTTCCCGCTGTGAGCACTGATCAACGCCCTCAGTTTCCTGATCGCCGAGTAGATTTCAAGTTGAGCAGTAACATAGCCTCCCTCCAGCACTCTAGCTGCGCAGCGCGTGTGAAAGGCGCTAGGTCCATATTTGTGGCAGTGTTAGCCATACGGTAGTTGAATCTATCTGTACCGACTGCATCTTTGGTTGGTGGCGGCTTTTGACCGAAAATCGCTGCCGCCCGCTTTTCCACGAGGTCCAACATTGTCGAGAAGGCGGGATTATCGCAGAGGTCGAGCTTCAGGGGTATAAGTTCGAAAGTTGAAGTAATCCCAGTCCCGGTGTCATTTGAAGTGATGTCCCCACCCGCATCTCCGTTGATTTCAAGTGAGGGCGTATCATTATTGCAAGCCATACTGAAAGGGAGAAAGACGCGAGTATAGACCTTACAAAGCTCCGTAAGGGCGTGCCGTACATAGAAAGTGAGGACAGCTCCTCGGAGTGACTACACTCCCAGGAGCGACTCTATAGTCGCTCCTGGGAACGACGAGATATATTCCTAGGAGAGATAACATGCTCCTAGGAGCAAAGTCTGCGTTCCTAGGGGCCCCTTAGCCGACATAAAAATAGACTAAGATGCAAAGGCTTAGGTAGGCCTTGTGCCCGGTAGAAGAGCTCCACCTCCCCGACGAACTATATATAGCTCTCCCGCAGAAGCTTTTCTCTATCCAAGTCTTTTGCTTTCCTAGGTAAACACCACTATGAATACGCCGTTAGATCATCGGTCCAAAGCCACGGGTCGACCCACCTGGAGACAGGCCCTTCTCTGAGACATGCGAGAGGTATTGAATGCCAACCTCTATTGCTGGATTCACAGTAGCAATTCAGCGGCTCCTCTCCATTAGACGGTACGCTCTGAATCGTTCTATGGCCAGCCCTTCTTAATCGACGCCATTAGTCCATTTATCACATAGTTCGCCGTGTTTCTAATGAACAAGATAGATGCCAAAACTCTCGTTGCAATAGAATTTTGGGATAACAAACAAATGATTCTGCCTAAAGAACTAGAAAATTCCTTTCTCGATACCTTCTTCATACCACTCGGATTTTGTGTCCCGAACATTCTATCTATGTTCTGTCTATTCAAGTCGTGTTACCCGGCCAGAATAGGCATCCTTCTCATACGACGTACAATGCCCCTCTCTTCGGCTTTTTGAATAATGTAAAAGTTCTCAAGTACTAAAACCACAGGAACAAAAATGACTGGTGAACAACCGTCGGGTGCCAAATTGACAGTGATTAGTTCACTTATTCAGCAATGTAGTGAGCTCACAATTAATTCTTTGTCTTAGTTGGACCTAATTACCCCAGTGACTAGGTGACTGGGAAGGCAAATTGGCGCTCGGTGAACAACAGAAAACAGAACAGCGAGCTAAAAGAGCTGGTTCAAGGGGTGGTCACGGATACTTGATTGTTGGATTTATTATTTCGTCTTCGCCTGACTGAATTTGTAATCGACTTAAAGGTCTCAGGGGTCTCTAGTGCATCTAGCAGAACCTGTAATGTAATGTAAACCAATCGAGTCCAAAGCCCCCTCGTAAACGGCTACCACACTTAATCCAAGTTATACCCTTCTGTTTTGATTGGTAATATTCCTAATCTGATCCAGCCTTACTATCTACCTGTATTTCGTATGGGTGGCTCTGATCGTATGGAGGAGGGTTCTCCATGGCCCTTATGCACATTGACGGATGGTGGGTCGACTGGGATTGTGCCTGTGGTGAAGGATCGTATGGCGGAGGGTCCTCCATGGTCCTTGTACAGCACATTGACGGCTGGTGGGTCGACTGGGATTGTGCTTGTGGCTTAGACTTGTTCATGTTGCTGTTATGGTTTGAGAGAGGCCCGTGTAGAGGGTAAGATGGTTGGATATGAGGGTTGTTCATTTGGCTACCATCCTTATAGCCCATTCGCCGCTTGTTTTTAAGATAGTATTGTTGCTGGGAAGCATGTCGGAGCCTTTGGTAAGCAGGTTGGAGATTTTCCCTCTCCTTCTGCTTCTGCTCCTCGTGTTCAGTGGCGGCCCTATTGGAGGATATATGAGCATGAGAGTGACAAGCATGGGCGGAAGACTTGAAGAACGCACTTGGACGCAGCTTTAATGAGGCTAAAGCCATCACCCAAAGCAAGGCCAGTCTTGATAAGACCCATGTTGTAAAAGGAGAAGAAGGAGTTTCGGTAGAAGCTTGGTGGGTTATTGAAAATGTGACGATTTGAAGACCGGGAAACCGAGGGGTATTTACTGTTGTCTAGTCGTTCGACAACCAGAGTTTGGCCCCCGACAGGATTTTGTAATTAACGGATTTCCGATGACTCCGCCACGATATAGATCTTCGCCAAGATTATACAACAACCCAGGCGCGTAAATGCCCGTGGGGGCCAAACCTAGCGTCCAACAACATTAGAAAAAATGAAAAAAAAGACATGAAGTCCAGCCTTAACAAATTAATTACTTAGACAATGCTCACTCTACTGTAGCTCAAGGCGCGGCCGCGCCTGGCTTGTCGCTAACTCCTGCGGAGGCCCCTGCTCCCTAGTCATAGGCACAGTTGCCACTTTCTCTGAAAGCGTCCCGTTTTCCTGCAACGACGGGGCAAACGCTTCCGTAGGGCCCAAGCTAGCTGCAGCCCTACTCCGTCGCCGATAGAAGAACCAGAAGGCTACGATGACTCCAAAGACAAACGGAATCCCCACGCCTAGGCCTACGCGGAGAACCACGCCGAGGTTGTCATCGCTCTCACTGTTCCCTGTTGACCCAGGCGGCGCCGGAGCCGGAGAATTCGATTCGATAATTGTAGAAGCGCTTGATGGGGAGATAGTGAGTGCAGTTACAGCGTGAACTGATCCGAGCGTGAAGGTCTCAGAGTTATTGCAGTGGCAGGAACTGAAGCCTTTGCAGCAAAATGTCCCCTTGCCGCAAATATTGACACCCTTTCCGCCGTCTAGATAGATGAATTAGTTACACTAGGCTAGAGCTGGTCATCGATTGGGCTTTGGAATCCTAACGGCTCCCTACAAGATTGGTAATGAGTGCACTATGATGGGCACGTCCGATGCAACCTCTTTGTCTTAGGAAGTTTTTTGTTTTTGTTTCGAATAGAATCTTCCTCCTTATGTGCTCCGGGGACGAAGCCATTCTTCTCTCTAAGGAGTCGACGCTTCTCTCTCGCCTTTTTATCGCGCTCGGAGAAAAAGAGCTATACGCCTATTATCGAAGACGCTGCCTAATCTAAGCTTAAAGGCACTACTCGAGGAAATCGATCTATATTCGAAAGGATTTATAAGATATCTAGAGCTAGATATAATCCCCTTTTGTACCTAACATTTTGAGCTCGAGCCACCTCAAGAAATTGTAGACTTTAACATTATCGCCCCGTAATGTATGATTATTTCTATTTTATTCCCTACACGACAGATATAACATAAATCACTGATAGTTTAGGGTAGTCAGAACACGAGGGTAGCCTAAACATGACCGACGGACTAGCCTAGCCATCATAGAATAAATAGCCCTATAGGGTCCGTCTATTTTGAGTATGGTCTATTTTGTGCTGGCCAAATCAGAGGGTGCTCACTTAAGGCTTAGTAAGGAATCACCTAGTACGCCTAAGCACTCACTGAGCACGACTAAGCAATCACTGAGCAATCACTGAGCGATCACTAAGCGATCACTGAGCCTAAGCCCGTACTGACGCCTACTCAGTGATCCTCAGCATGAGCGCCCTCATAAAGCGGCGGCAGCCTAGATAGGAAAGGCCCCACCCGGCAGACTTTATCCTGTCTATATAGGTGCATATACGGTACCCCACAATCCATGTATTTGTGGATCTACTAGTGTGTTTACGGTAAGTCGGGTCCACCCATTCATACACCCATACAAAGCCACTTTTGGCTCGCGATTGTACAGGAGAGCACTTGAAGGGGGTAATTGAGCACGAGGAAACTATAATGATACGTAGTACAATACAGTAAAGATCAACGCTTCGAGGCTTGAGCAAGAGTGGTTCAACTTCACGTCTTTAGGTAATTAGCCTGCGTACACACCTAATTTAAATCTCTTTTAAACCGATATAAAGTCTTTATCCAAGGGCAGTTTTTAATCTTTTTCCTGAGCAACCTGGAAACATCTTTAGCTTAATAGAGAAAAAAATCTAATCTAAGATATATTACTATTAGACTCGGGTGCTACAAATTGCCTGACAGATAGCGCCTGTACGGGTAGTGAAGGGCTGATACACGAAGTTTTGGCTATTTTATAAAAGTGAGGCAATCGGTTTGTACAGTACTCTGTAAATGGATAATACAGAGGTTGCCACTGTAGACGGATTGACCATCAAGATCAGGGGGTAAGTAGGGGGGTAGTGAGAATAAGAAACAGACCTTGGTGGTTCTATATAGGTATTATGCTTTATCCTGAGCGGCTACCGAAGGATAACCACTCACTCCAGAGGTCAGAGCCACCCTGAGTTATATTCTAAGCACGTGATGCATAGAAACTAAAATTTCAGCAAAAAGGGAAGCTTGAATCGGCATAGCCATTTGCTGCGGCCAATTACCATCAGAAATAGCATCATATAATTCAATTCAGCAAAGGCGCCACCGCAACGAGAGCAGACAGCGACCTGATGACGAAGCAAAGAGAAAATACATAAATCATAGAACCACAGAAATCAGCACATGACGTCCATCTAGGATAAAATAAAGGACATGGAATAGCGAAATGTTGAAATAAATAGAGATTTTGCCATCGATGAGGATGAGCATGAGAGCAAATGAAGAAATGCTTTTTGCGCCGAAGGAACAAGTCTGGATAGAATAACAAGTGTTGAGGAATCAGATGCTGATAGAAAGCAAAATGTTGCGATCGTTCACATGCGAGTACAATTGGAAGACGAGGAGGATATAACATGAGAGATTATGAGAAGAACATGAATCATGAGCTACAGGCACAAGCGACTGAAATTGAGTATCCCTTGCATGGAAATTGCCGAACTCGAAAAGGGATCGTGGGAAAGCACAGTAGAAACGAGACCGGAATCGGCATCGTCAGAAGTTTCCAGGTTTCATTCATGGCTTCCCATCGTTCGAATCGGTACCGGACGAGATCAGGGTTGGAGCGATGCGGCGCTTCTTCTGCGGCTGTGCCGGCGTATTTGAGGCATCCTTGTTATCTTCTCTCTCCGATTCGCTGGTGGTTCTTGCATCGCGCTTGCCCAACACGGTGCCACCGCTGGTGGCGCCACCTTGGGTGCTTAATGGAGTTTGTGGCGGTGTTGTCAGTGGAAGTGTTGGTGGCTGCGCAGAGTTTGTTGCTGTTACAAGCGGGACAGAGCCAAGGATTGGAGTAGGGTTATTAACCACACCAGTAGTGGGTGGTTGTGAAGACTGAGTTGCGATTGAGTTTGCTGAGTTGGACCGTGCGGGGCTAGCTGGGGGTGCTGCAGCTGCCGTACTCGCTGGTGCATGGGCCTTGGCCGGGGATGGCGCATGCGTTGGTGTCGGCAGAGGTGTGGCGTTTGTTGAAGAGGTGCCTGATGTTGTGTTGTTTTGACCTGTAGAGTGTGGCCCAGTGGGTCCAGTGTATTGCTGTCCGAGCTCCCCAGGGGCGAACGAAAGCGTTGAGCAGAAGCCATCAGAAGAACTCATGAGCAATGTCAAGCCATCAGTGGACCTATGGTGTGTTAGAGAATTCGAACGGTGAGAGGATGGAGCAACTTACCAAGAGAGATCGGTGAATGTAGCGAAGTGCAGATTACTGACAACAATCAATGGCGTTTGTTGCTGCGTGTCATATACCAAAATGGCATCTTGGGTGGCAACAGCATACACAATGCGATAAGGAAGTGCGAATACTGGAGCCGAGTTCTGGCTTGTGTCAACGCCATCTTCAGTGGTCTTTGCAGATGTTTGAGGTTTCGATGGTTCGGCCGGCGTTGAAGACGGGGGATCCATCTGGGGTTGGTTAATAAAGGACTGCCCTGCCGTTACCACGGGATCTGGAAGAGATGGGAACATGTCCTCGCCAGAAGACGTATCAAGGGTGAGGGTTCTGGCAGGCTGGATACCCTCCTTTAACGTATAGAAGATCGGGGAGCATCTGACTGCAACTGATGGCTTCTTGTGTCCTGGAAGGTGAGAGATCGGGGGCTTGTTGAAACCTGCCCGTGTGTAGACGTAGACGGTGTTGATGATCTCATCTGTCGTCTTCGCAGAATCCGTGGCTGAGATGTGAGAAGTCTTAAATTGCCCAGCTGGTGTAAACAACAGGCTTCCGTCGGGGGCAAACGTTAGCCGCCTGAAGAAGGACGTGAACGTCTCGTTGGCATAGATGCTGGTGTTCTTTACCCCCAGCCCACTTAGACCACCAAGGCCACCAACAAGGCTCGGAGAGGATGTCTCCATTGGTTTCACGGCGGGCAATGGTAGAGACGGGGCAGGAGAGGCAGAGCGCCGGATCGAAGGAGACGAGCCGAACGAAGACCGCCGGCTATGCGATACTGGAGGAGGATCCATGGGAAGATTTGATGCCATTGGGGTTCCTGGGGTAGAGGGAGCAGGCGAGGCAATCGCAAGGGAATTTGCAGTGAGCTGCTGGGGCCGGCTAGTCATATCTGGAGGCGCAGGACTGCTGGAGGAGATACGCTTGGCGGGCAGATCCATCTTGTGGATCTTCCCGTGTGGTGTCAATGTGAACTGGCCATCCTTAGTCTTCAAGGAATAGATATGGACCGATCTGTCGGACGACTGAGTCGCGACAAATTCATTCAGCGGATCCCAGGCTACACCTTGAACGTAGTGTGAATGCTCTGCGATCTGTCGGACCATTTGCCCTGTGGAATTGACCTGTCAGCATATCCAACCGGATACAAGTTGGATAGAGATGAACCAACCAGTTTGGGCATTGTAGATCCGGGCGATGTTATCCATGCTGCCTGTAATGATGAAAACACCATCGGGAGACCAGGCCAGGTCGTAGATCTCGGCACCGGACGAGCGACACATGTGCTTCACACGCCATGTTTCCTTGTCATCCGAACGGTCTTCGCCCAGCCCAGCTTGCGTCTGCAGCTCCGACGGTACCCACAGCAGGACATTTCCATCGTCTCCGGCAGATGCCAGCATCTCACCTGTCAACAGTCAGATCTGCAGTCCCGTGCTTCCTGTGGAAGGACATACCTTTCGGGCTGAACCGAACCACATTGACGGCCTGTGTATGTTTCAACAAAGTACTTAGATAAGTAACTTTTCGGTCCTCCCCGGTAGATTCGACCTTCCAAAGCTGTAGATATGTCAGATCATGGTAGTCGGAGAAGGACGAGGAAGGCGGAATCATACTCGGACGTTGTTGTCACTAGAAGATGCGATAGTCAGTCAAGGGAAACATAGTAGAGGTCGCAGAGAAAACATACTTGCCAGCAGTAGCTAGACGGCCCTTTCCGTGGGGGTCATAATGCACCGAATAGATAGGGGCATTGTCATTATGCCATGAAACGAGCAACGGAGTGGCCTTCATGGAGGGCAACGCAGCTCAACAGGCTGTATTGACCACCACCGATGCGAATGAACGGTCTTTTTTTCAAGGGAGAGACTTCGCGTCCAGCTATTGTGCTCTCTTCCGGGTGGTAGCTGGAGTGAGAGCAGGGTTGACCAGAGGGGACCTTCAGTTAGATGGAAGAAAGAAGGAGAGAAAGAAGGTAGAGTGACATCAGAGAGAGAGAAGAGAAGAGAAACCAAAGAGGAGAGGAGAGAATAAGAGTAGGGAAGTCGTTGATTCCGCGATGATGCTTCGAGTTGTTTGCGCGGGAACGCGACCGACGATTAGATATGCCGAGCCTCTTGACTTGCCCGCTTCATTCTTCAGTTCTTTAGTTCTTTGACATTTATATTGTGAAGTATCCCCAACGCCTTCAAATAGTTACATAGAATACAATAGTGTTTACGACACCCAGTTACCAATGGTCTCTCCAAACCAACTGACAGCCTTCTCCCGTCGCTTCTCCCGTGCATTATCCTGAGTCTTCATGAAGGGTCCGGCCTCCTCCACGTACATCTTCTGCTGCTCCAACTGCGCATAGTGCGCCCTAATCTCCAGCTCTCGCTCATGGGGAGTGAGTTTCTGTAGCGGCTTTGAGGGCTTGAATCCTGCTGGGATGGGCTCGCCTCCGGGGATCTCCAGACCGGGCTTCTTCTCTGCTGGTGGTTGCTTCTCTGGGTGGAACAGGGACGCCATGGGAGGTGGTTCAACACCGGCCGCCTTGGCTTCCTCGACTCGCTTCTCATAGTCTAACATCTGGTGGTAGAGCTTGTCGGCGTGCATCTGGATGCGCTCTTCTTTTTCGGCGTCGTAGTTAAAGGAGGATGCGTATCCAAGAGCCTGGAGGAATTTCTATTCGCAGCAGTCATGTTAGTATCAATATGCATGTAGACAGCATTGGTATCAACTCACGGTCTGGGTTGTAAAGCATCGGGAGAAAGTGCCATTCTCCGCAGAACACAGAGTCAGTCGGGCCTCAATCTGCTTGCGCCAGTTGCCCGTCTTGAAGCAGTAGGTCAAGGCTTCATGCTCCAAGGCGCAGTTCTCCATTGCTGCCCGCTGCACTGTGTCGCCGCGCTCCTTGTGCTTTTCGATCACTCGCTCCGCCCCGCGGACTCCGTCATTCTCATCGATATCTGCCGGAGGCCTATAGGTCTTCCAGAGGTGGGCGTAACGGCCATCCTGGTAAAGAGAAGCCGCAGGGACTTGAGGTTTCGCAGGATCAGAGGGTTGGGATGTTTGCGTAGGCGTCGGAGTCGTCGGGTTCACACCAGCAGGCACATATTTATCGGGCTGCTCTTGCTCAAGATAGTCACGAAGACCCGGTTCGAGCTTGTTAACCGGGTCAGATTTGCTGTCGCCCCAGAACCAACCCATTTGGACTTGCAAAAGGTGACCGTTGAGAGTTGCGGAGAAATCGGCACAAAAATGGATCGGCCCCCGATCGCCTTGGCTCCGACCGCAATTGGCGTTCTACTCCTCAACCAACAACACGACGCGTCTTTTTCGACGCCGTTCCTCCACCATGGAACCCAGTATGTGGTGTCTGTATCTATGTATTGGGGGGCTTATCGCTAACAGTTGACAGCGCGAGAGGAGCGGCAGCAAATGCGGCAGCGTGGAGCTGGGTACGCGCCTTACTTCTACCCCGCGAAACAACATAGCTAACTTAGGATAGGACGCGCAAAGCAAAAGAAGTCAATTTCGGATTCTCATTCGGTGGCCTTGCGCCAGAACCATCAGCGCCTGCGCCGCTTGCTATTGTCCCTGAACCTCAACCACGAACACAACCCGCGACCACACCACGACCGACCAAGGCGTCAACCCAAGGCGAGGAGGAGACTGCGCGTACGCCTGGAAGCGCGCGCAACAAGTTCCCCGAGAGGCCTTCGACATATGACATACCCTCAGAAGATGGACCTGAACAAACGCGAAGCAGCAAACGTAGGAAGATCAGTACGTTTGGCGCCAGACTCAATCTACGCTCAAGCGTGTGCTAATGCTTCTCAAGATCCAATCGAAGGAACTCAGGATACTCCAACTCGGCGAAACTCGGCGCAACCCGCGAATGACGACTCCCAACATGCTGATAACAGCGCAGGTAGCACAGAGGGGCAACCCAGCCATGCACCCCCAAGTACCGACGCGGCTATCGGAGGTCAGCGTCCAGGAACTGAGACCTCGAGCACTAATGGCGTGGATCGGGTGACCCCAGCCGACAAAGAGCAGGTTGCTCAAAATGGCACACCAGCAAATGGCGTCGCAGAGCCTACACTGGCTGAAAGCACGCAAGAGCCAACTGCATTACCCAAAGCACCCTCATCTGAGGCTCAATCCGGGGCCAAGCAGCCAGAAAAGACGAAACCACTACGTGAAGAACGACACAAGATCCAGTCACCCATAATGCCTGCAAAACAGGCTCAACGAGACAACAGCAGCAAACGAGATGCCACAGTACCTGCTTCTCCGGCGCCCCATCTGGCAGAGAAACCTACAGCAGCTCTACAAAGCAACATATCAACAGAGATTGCTAGGGCTAATGATGTTTTGGTTGATGATAGTGCTGAGGCGGCTGTAAGCGCCCCAGAAACCACGGAAATTGCACCAGAACAAGACAACCAAGCATCTACAGAGCCTACCCAGAAGACAAAGAAAGCGCGAGGTCGCCCGCGCAAGTCAACTGTGTCTCAATCCCCAGAAAGTGCGGCATATGCGGCACAAGAACCTTTATCTGAAACACAGCCTGAGCCCACGGCAGAACAAGTTGAGACATCTGCACCAACCAAACGGCCTCGCGGAAGACCGTCTCTCAATGGCAAGACAAAGGCTGCTGAATCTGGGAGAGTTTCAACTGAGCCTCCGACAGCACAAGCTGAGACATCTTCACAACCCAAGCGGCCTCGTGGCAGACCATCTCTCGATGGGAAGAACAGAGCCGCTGGGGCTGGCAGGGCTTTGCCTGAGCCCGTACCAGGTGCTGCGGAGGTGGAAGCTGCAGTTTCTAAGCCACAACGCGGCAGACCTAAGAAGGCCGACCGTACTACAGAGCCCGAGCCTGACGCTGAGGTAGAACAACCAGAATCCGATGAACCTGTGGAAACTGCAGTACCCAAGCCACAACGTGGCAGATCTAGTAAGAAAGGCAAACGCCCAGCGGAGCCTGAGACCGAACCCGAACCCACCACAGAAGACCAACCAAGCCCTGAGACTGTACCTACTGCATCCAAACCACGCGGCAGGCCTACAAAGAAGGCGAAGCGTCCAGTTGAGCGCGAGACAGAACCCGATGCAGAAGAGCAAGAGCAACCAGCAGCTGAGCCTACAGAGCAAACTCGCCGAAAGGCTCGTGAGCCTCGAGGGGAGAGCTTCCCTGTCACTGTTCATCGCCTCGCCAACGCCGTTGCTCTGGGTGGCAGGTCTGCTGCCGATTCCGGAGACGAACAAGACTCCGCCGACGAGCTATCATCACGCCAGCGGACCAAGGTGCCCAACCGCGGCGGTGTCAATCCTGCAGACGTATTGGGCCAGATCTGCCGCGAGACTCTAGAGAAGACCCTCACAACACTCAATGATGGGATTGCCAATGAGGCGAATGCTACACGGCGAGCAGAGTGGACACGCAAAAGAAAAGCCGTCGAGGCCTTTGGCTCTGAACTTGAGAGCCGGCTTATGGATCTAAGCGAGATGCTGGACAGTAACTTTGTCCTCGGTGTGCAGTTGAAGAAAGCTAAGAAGGAAATGATGGATCTACGCAGCCATCTATACCGGGTCAAAAAGGAACGAGAAATGGTGGCTTTACAGATGGACGCAGTGCGCGGCAAACACATTGAAGAGGAGAAGGCCAGATCGGTAAGTATCATGTCTCATTTCTAGTTCGACCAAAAGTGCCCTACTAACAATCCCAGTCACGAACCACCATCAACAACTCCCTTCACAGCCTTGAACTCGCCCTCGAGCGCAATCAGAACCGCACCGCAGCTGTTGAATCCACATCTGCAGATCTCGAATTCATGCTTCGCACCGTCGCCGATGTGAGTGCGCGAGCCCCGGGAGCCCAAGGTGGACTCCTGAACCAAATACGGGCGTTTAATGCACAGCTTGAAGCTACAGCCAGCCGCCTGGAGCGATGATATTTGATTTATGTTTTCTTTTCCTACCGTTATGATACCAGTTTGTACAATAGGGTATAGTCCTGGCGGGGCCAGAGGATGGCGTTTAGTGTACAAGCCTTTATCGAACATGAGAGAATATGCCGGTATCCCGAGTCCGACCCACTAGATGATTATTAATTATTAATTGCGCCGACGTCAGTAGCAAATCAGAAGTGCCAATTGCTGCTGTTTTTCGGGGACTTATATTTACTTTTTACCGCCACTTGAATTGCAACATACTATGATTGCAAATATGATGATTGATAATCTACAGTGGGGATATAGTCAAATGTATATAAAGCCACTATGCTCCCTTTCCTCAGTCCATAGCAAATAATAGTCAAAACCCTCTATTATCTCTATAAACCACAACCCTGACTCCCCCAAAATGACGAAACTCTTCACCCCCCTCCGCGTCGGCCGCGTCGAGCTCTCAAACCGCATCGCCATGGCCCCAATGACCCGCTTCCGCGCCGACGACAACCACATCCCGCTCCCCTTCATGAAAGACTACTACGCACAGCGCGCCTCAGTCCCAGGAACCCTCCTGATAACCGAAGCAACCTTCATCTCCCCGCGCGCCGGCGGCTACCCCAACGTGCCGGGAATCTACAACGACGCGCAAATCGCCGCGTGGAAGGAAATCACTGACGCAGTGCACGCCAAGGGCAGCCACATCTACGTGCAGCTGTGGGCACTCGGCCGCGTCGCCGTCCCGGATGTGCTGAAGGCAGAAGGCGATTTCGAACTTATCTCTAGCAGTGCCGTGCCTGCTTCGGAGGACGCCGCTACGCCTCGTGCGCTTGAGGAGGCTGAAATCGCTGGCTGGGTTGAAGACTATGCGCAGGCAGCTCGGAATGCTGTCAAGGCTGGCTTTGACGGTGTTGAGATCCATGCTGCGAACGGATATCTGATTGATCAGTTTAATCAGGATACCTGCAATGTGCGTGAGGATGGGTATGGCGGTAGTGTTGAGGCACGGGGACGGTTTGCTGTTGAGGTTACGCGGGCTGTTGTTGATGCTGTTGGTGCGGATCGCACGGGTATCCGGTTTAGTCCTTGGAGTTCTTTCCAGGGCATGCGGATGGCTGATCCTAAGCCGCAGTTCGAGTATCTTGCGACGCAGATGGCTGCGTTGAAGCTTGCTTATGTTCATGTTGTTGAGTCACGGATTTCGGGCAATGCGGATGTGGAGTCGACTGATCAGTTGGATTTCTTCCTCAAGGCTTATGCTGATGCTTCGCCGGTTATTGTTGCTGGTGGGTATAAGGCTGATTCGGCGGTTCGGGCCGTTGATGACAAGTATAAGGATTATGATGTTGTTATTGGGTTTGGAAGGCCTTTCATTACTAACCCTGATCTGGCTTTCCGCATTAAGGAGGGTATTTCTTTTGTGCCTCATGACCGGACGAACTTCTATGTTCCCAAGGAGCCTAAGGGATACATTGACTATGAGTTCAGTGAGGAGTTCAAGAAGACTGTCGAGGCTCAGGCTTGATTGGATTTGATGTTTGTTTGCTTAGCGATATAGTATATATAACCTTGGAATAAGACTAGAATAGAAGACTGTCATATATTGACTGCGATGTGAGATGTTTGTGTAAATTTACCACGGCTTCGAGTCATTCGATCTAGAGTTTATACTAGACAACAGTTAGCACAATCCCAACCCAACACAACCCAATATCAAACTCACCCTAAATCCCCTATTCTCACGATCAGTCAAATCCAAAAACTCAACATCCCCCCTCCCCTCACCAGCCTTCTCCCTCCTCGAGTTCTCCCAAACGTAATACCCTCTAAGCCCAAACGTAAAGACAATAGCCACAGCAAGCGTAGCAACAATAGCAATCTTAGCCGGCACATAATCAGGCTCGTCCTCAGTCCGGAAAGTAAGAGGTCCCAGAATATTCCCCAAACAGAACGCCATCAACAAAACAGCATTCATAGAAACCTTCTTCGTATGTCCAGCCACATTAGCTCCAGCCAGCGAATATATAATCGGCAATGCAGACCCAGTACACTGCGTCAAATAATTCCCAGCAAGCTGAGCAGATTTGTTCGACCTCGGCGCGAACGCGAGTAAACATCCACCCAGCAATCCAGCAGAAAGAGAAGCAACAACACATAAACAGCGTTGATTGTAGCGTCCTGCAGCATATGATACAGCAAGGATACTGACAATACTAACGGCTCCATTAGGAATATTCAGCAATTCCGTCTGCTTAGTCGTATAGCCGAAATTCTTAATAATAAGCGAAGTAAAGCTACTCATGGCCGCATTGGGGACATCCATAGCGGTGACGATAACAGCAATAAGATATGTCTGCGGATCCGTGAAGATCTCAGTAAACTGGCTGCGTTTGAAGTGCTTGTTTTCGATTCCGGTTTGGTTTTCGCGGAGGCGTTCGATTGCGAGGAGTTTTTCACTGTGCGTTAGGCGCGATGTCATCGGGTTGTCTGGCAGGAAGATTATTATGCTTATTCCCACCGCTATGGTTATTAGGCCGAAGATTAGGAACATTATTTGCCAGGGCTTGAAGGCGTTCGAGGTGTAGAAGAGGAGGCCGTAGGCTACTAGGGCGCCCATTATTGAGGCGGTTCCTGTGCCTAGGTACCAGATTCCCATTCTTCTAGGTTGTTCTGGGTTAATTGGTTAGTTTGCGTGTGTATGGGGGTGATGTGGGTGGTAGTACCATCTCGTTTGTACCACATTGAAGTGATAAGGATCAATCTGAAGCATTTTGTGAGACGATGGCTGGATTAGGACTGGATACTGATAGGACTCACGCTGGTGCGATTGCACTCTCGAAACAACCAAGTAAGACGCGGAGAACCATCAGTCCTGGGAAATTCTTCGCTGTACAATTCAAAGTCGTCATAAGGCCCCATAATGTAACTATCACAAGTCAGTAAACTCATATCATATCATATATCAAACCTCCACCCCAAACTAAACTCACCATTAAACCCCAAGTATTTAGCAGTCGGCAACCGCTGCATCAGAAACCCAGTAGGCAACTCAAAGAACAAATACGTCACATAAAACGCAAGCGTTAGATTCGAGAATTGATCAGTATGCATATTGGTATCACTCAGCAAGCCCATGACCGAAGCATAGTTAACTGCAAGAAAAAGGAAAAAGAGAAGTAAGAAACGATATCCATGCATTTGATTATTAGACTTAGCCATGGAAACTAGGACCACCTACTAAGCACCTTATCCAAATACTGTAGATTATAAGCCGCCCACATCAACGGCATGATCATCCAGTCAATCTTGCGCACGAGTGCTTTCTCGTTGACTTCTGATATCTCTGCTAGATCTTCTGATCGGAGGAAGTCGAGGGCTGCGTCGGCCTTGCCGGTTGATATTAGGTTGTTTTTTGTTTCTAGGTCCATGTTTGTGCTGGACATTGGTTGTTTTTCTGGTTGGTCTGGGCTCATTGTTCTCATAGGTTTGGCCGGGGTAGGAGCATTGGATTGAGTTGGGGTGGAATGATTGTTGCTTGTCTTGTTTGCTGGAGGCTCAAATCAAAGTGGGATACCGGGATTGAAGAAGGGATGTACAGTACTGTAGATAGAACCTGCACCTTGACAGAAATGAATTGGAATAAATATACTCAACACCTTATCGCCTCTACATAACAAGTCAATCTAAGCGCACAGAGCAGCACCTCACCCCCTCTAACCCTCGGCCCAAAGCAAGAAACAACGTCTCCAAACGAGATAACACCGCTCATACCTTCCTGAAGAAGCGCATCTGTAGGGATATAGCAGTCCATCGCGCGGGAATACGCGGTCTAAGCCGCCGATTGATAACAAGTACCAAATCTCGACGCGAGACTGACTCGGTGGTTGGCTGACTGGTTGGCTAGCAAGGGGGATGACGGGAAAGTCCAGCGCAACTGTCACATCACTACCCTAGCGGATTGTGCAGCGCGCAGCTTAGATAAATGCTATGAGGATTCTGACAGGCTCGTTAGACAGTGCTTTTGCACAGTAGGCTTTAATAGGGAAGTGATCGCTGAGATAAGTGTTGATTCGGGCATGTAGTTGACCCCGCACGCGGAAGAGACGGCAGTTGGGGTTGATCAGTTCTGGCTGTGTTTTGGTGATTAGCTGGTGAGCTGGCCAGTGAGCTGGGTTATTTGGAGTCTTGGGAGGTCTTGGGGGGAGTGTTGGGATATACTGATAAGGTGTTGGGGTTGCCTAGAGGAAGCCTTGGGATCGATCGGACGGCAGTGAGCAGCACGACTAGATACTGTCGTCGACCAGATAAACCCATAGATGAAAATTGAAGAGAACACGAAGTCTCTCAGAGAGTAAGTTGCCCAGGGCGCCAAGGTAGCTGACCGCTCTTCGATAGAACATCATTGACTGAACCTCTTTTTGGGACATCCAACCCGCCTGATCCGCAAGTAGCTCCGGCACATCCAAAAATCAAACATCACTCGAATGGGTGAGTTGCATGGATCTAATCGGACTTTTTTCCGAACATCCTTCTCCGATCTCTGCAAATGTACAGTAGTACGTACGCAGTACCCATGTGCATCCCCCACAATCTCATCTCCCGTGGTACGATCCTCACGTGGCTTGGGGTTTGTCCGACTTGGCAAAGAGGCTGTACAGAATACACACCTCCGGGCATCATGAAATCCGATCCGAGAGACGTTCCGCTCCGCCGAGCCGAATTGAAAAAAATTTTCGGTTATTGGAGTTGACCTGATGGGCCCAGTGTGAACCATGGAATACAATCCAATTATTTCGCTTTCCAAGACTGATATTGGGGTAATTGCCGTCACTGGAACATGATCTCCGATTACTACATTGTGGTTGGACTGGGGTATGGAGTGAACTGTGATCAGATGAGCAACTGTGGGGAAACTGAGATCTTTGTTATTCGCCAAACGTTTAACATTTTGGTTCTGGAAGTTAAGTGTGCAGGCAGGATCGACTGTCGCATGACGATGCATGACGCTACTCCAGGGCTGAGAGAGCTCTCCCCGCATTGCTGCTTCCAGTCAGCGTAGAGAGAGTCTGGGAAACTCAAGTTTGGATAGTTCGTTGGTTCGATATAGTTACCTCGCCATGTGGCTGCTGGGACAACCATTGATCTGTGCTCTGGCATTGGCGGTCAACAATGTTAGCACTTACTCTTTTGGGTTATTGTACTCCCAATAGCGCCACTGGTGACAAAGCAGAGTTTGTCCTTCTTGGGCGGTCTGGGAGAATTTGCACTGTTTACATTTACCGTTTTCTACAGTTACTTTGGTACAACTGTTCTCTGTAGTGGCTAGAACTCCCTGCAACCTTACAATGCATGTCTCACCGGCTAATATCAGCCTAAAGTCAAATTCCACACAAGTTTCACGCCTTCCAGGCTAAAGCCAATCTCAAGCCTTGTGGTGGTTGTTTATTGTTCTTGGCGCGCCACAAATCAATGTATAAGGGGAGCAACCACCACTAGCGACTAGCGGCATGCCAGAGATTTCACCTGGATTCCATAGTCCACACACTTGGTGGAATAGAAGAGGTTGCACTGTACGAGCAAGTGGATCTCGCCATTCCAGCTGCAGAGCAGATAGTCTGCACCTGTAGGGGGATCTTGCATAATGACCGAGGTTGCGTTAGTGTCGGATTGATCCTGCCGTGTTTTTCCTGGCCCCAACCCCTGGATACATACTAGTACATGATCTAAGTCTAGACAGTAGAGAACTCCGTAGGCCACGAAATTAGATCAAGGAGGCCCCAACCCGAGACAGAAACCGTCCGAAGCTGTAACGGGGGAAATCTCTGACGCGGGCCGAATCCGAAGTCAACAGCAGCTCAATGGAGCATAGTGAGACGTCGACAGGTTCCACTCTTCACGTTTGTCACTCCTCGAACCACTAAGTGGAGATGAAGCTTGACCTTGCATGTCTAGCTTGGAAAAAGTAATATCAAATCAAATCAAAAAAGCCACGCACGGCGTTGCCGACCCGGTGGTCTCGGTTCTGGTCAGTTATTCAATCTCTGTACAGTATACTGTATAGTATCGACGAGAATAGCAATTGATAGAACCTCAAACTCAGTCTGACATATCCCGTCTTTCCGAAACGTCCAGCAAAATACTAAACTCGGAGTTTGATGAGGATTGTCCGTGTCAACGTTAAGTCTATGGGTACAGTATCCGTGCCCGACTCAAAAAAGGGGCAAAAGGAGAGAGAACGCAGACTAGACCCACGATGTACCCACGCTAATGGAGGGAGAAAATGGAGAAACCTGCATAGATAGATGACGAATCATAGATCCTTGTCTAATGTGTATGGTATAGTTGGGACAAGTCGGGTTTATGGCGTAATGGATTCATTGGTGCATAATCCCGCCCGGAGCCAGCTAAGCAGCTTACAAATGTGCTATACGCTAATTAATTACGGACTTAGTTGGGTTCTCTGGAGAAATGGAAGTGCTGGACCGAGGTCGTGACGCAGTTGAGTTGACCCGGTTGTCCCGGGATTTGCCCCCGAAGCTTGGGAGGTTGAGTATGGATCGTCAATTCTTCTCTCCACAAAGCTGCATATTTGATGCAAATCGCTGCAAAAGCAGGTGCTTTTATTTTCTCCATCAGGCTAGTGAAAGTTCGAGGTTGAAAAGACGATCGTGATTTTCATTCAAGCCTTGTTACCGTGGAGTAATTTCCGTACAGGCTATACATGTAGAGTGCATAGCCGGGCTTGAGACCCTTGACCCACTGGATCAGACGCGGCTGACCGGAGGCAAAGAGAAAGTAGCCGGAAACTAAAACTGGAAAAGAACATGAGAACACTGCCCCAGAGGAAACCCCAGAAGCAAGTGTGAAAGGTGAAAGGTGAAAAGGGAAAGACGAGGTGAAATAGTATTATAGAATATCCAATAATGCATTTGCCTCCCCCGGATCCCCCGCCCTTTTTCCCCGGTCTGACTTGGTATTTTCTTTCATCCATTTTTCCGTGCCGTCCCTGCATCTGCATGGGCTGCTGGCATGGGCTGCTGGCAATGGCTGACCTGTATGTTCTAAAGTCTCGTGAAACTAGCACCCTGGTACTCCCGTACACCTGTACTCGTTCGTATACATAAAGTGGCACTTGTCCCCTAGCTCCGTCCAGTTCCCACTTTTCCATTAACCTCTGTTAGCTGGAAACGGATGCACATCATTGCAGTTTGAATAAAAAAAGAAAAAGGAAAAGAGTAAGTTCGCTGGTCCCACCTTGTTCCGTTCGTCCCTTCTCTGGCTATATTAGCTTCCCTGTCATCCAACTTTCACTTCTCCAACTTTGTTCTTCATCTCCATACCAGCAGTGCTGTTCAGAGTTGAATCCTTTCCCCTTTTACCCCATTAATAACTGTGTTATCATTTGGTGGTGTTGTTTATATCCCAGCTAGCTGGTCTTCCATTTCTACGATTCCCTTTTAACGAAACCCCATAATCAGATATCAATTATATCCTGCATCATGTCTGCGACTGAAGCATCCCACAACCCCGGGTTGGATAAGGACGTTGGCGCTACTCCTGCCCAGAACGGCAGTGGCGCTCCCATTCAGCCTCAAATGTCCGCCGAGGAGCACCAGGTGGCTCGCGCCGCCGCCCGCTTCGGATACGGACCTCTGGCGCACGTTAACGTCGACGAGTCTTCTCTCCCAGCCTTTGGTGGAGAGTTCCAGCCCGGTCTGTACAAGTCCGTTGAGGGTCGCAAGTTCGGTAACCCTGCGCCTCTGGGCCTCTGCGCTTTCGCCTTGACTACTTTCGTGTTGAGTGCTATCAACATCGGTGCTAGGGATATTAGCGCGCCGAACATTGTTGTCGGTCTTGCTTTTGGATATGGTGGTCTTGTTCAGTTGCTTGCCGGCATGTGGTATGTATCCGATCCATCCATCAATGGAATATCGAATTGAAGACTGACGTGACTCCCCAGGGAAATGGCCGTTGGCAACACTTTCGGTGCTACTGCTCTCTCCTCTTACGGTGGTTTCTGGTTGGCCTTTGCTATCGTCTTGACCCCCGGTGGGTTCGAGATTGAGGCAGAACTCGGCGCAACCTCCTCTGATCCCTCCAAGTTTTATAACTCAATGGGTCTGTTCCTGATGGTATGTTCGAGTCCATACATCCTGTGTATCCCAAGACCACAATTCTAACCTAACCCAAACAGGGCTGGTTCATCTTCACAACCATCATGCTCTTCTGCACCCTCAAATCAACCGTCGCTTTCTTCCTGCTCTTCTTCTTCCTGGACCTGACCTTCCTCCTCCTCGGTATCTCCTACCTGCAGACCGATTCTTCCGGAGGCGTCAACGTCCCCGTCCAGAAAGCAGGCGGTCTCTTCGGTCTTCTGGCTGCCTTCGCCGCCTGGTACAACGCCCTGGCCGGTATCGCCGATGACAGCAACAGCTTCTTCATCATCCCCGTTGCTCACTTCCCCTGGTCGGCTACTGGCCGTACCCGTCGCACCAAGTCTGAGCGCGAGCTCGCTTAGATTATCCCGCGATCGGAAATCTTGAGTCTCGGTGGTGGATGGAGAGGTGTCCATGCCCTTTAGGTAATTGACACTTGTAATGTTTCTGATACCCAGTGCTGTATGTACGTGTCGCGCGCGAATACTGGGTTCCTTGACTCTTTGAATATGCGGGTGGTCATCGATCGTCGACGCGTTTGCTCGTTGTTGATGATTGGTTCGGTCGCGTGTTCGCGGGGGTCGAGGGGTCTGTGTTTTCGCCCTGTGGCTTTGTGGCTGTTGCCTTTTGGTTGAGTGATCAATACGGAACATCTCTTCCCAGGTGACAGTTGCAAAAGTGTCTGGTCTCGTTTGCTCTTGAGCTGCGTGGCTGGTTAATAGTTGGCCGGTGGTTTCATGCGAGCATATAGGCTTGTATTGGGCCCCGGCTTTTTTCCTTGTTGTATTTAGTCTCTTTACCTGCGAGTTTTGACTCTGTAATTAATCCCATGTTCTATGACAACGTGTCTCATGTCCTTGTTCGCGTAGTTGCTCAAGTGTGAATTGGGTTCGGGTCTTACCTGGTTCCAAGATCATGAGTAGTTGTGTGCATTGCCGATGTTTGACTGGACTTGCAGTGTGTTGGCATCGAAGGGTACCTAGAAGCTGGCAGCTGGTATCTGTTCCAAGCTGTGAATCCAATGGACAACAGAGCATCAATGCAATGATCCGCCATAGATCGCTTCGTTGGTCGCAGAACTATACCGTCAGCGATAGTTCAAAGAATCAAACATCTGTATAATAAGTCAACAACCATAATAACACCCCACAAGACATGGTTATCCTGGTATAAGCCATGAGCTGTAGACTGTAGACTGTAAGCCGTGATATCAGCCATAACCAAATAAAAACATCAGCAAAGCCATAGTAGTCAGCATCCAACCCCAAATCAGTATGTATGGAAAAGGGGGCAACACAGAAGTATGTATATACTCCGAAAACACAATAATTTTCGAACTCTCACATCAGGCGTGAGCCAGGCCGTTTAATATAATCGGCTTTCCGTGGCCAAGGGGGAGGTGGAGAAGCCGAGTCATACATGTCGGTCTTTTCTCGGCTGAGACTTGGCTTTGTTTGAAGGGTCAATCATGGAGTCGTTTCAATAGTTCCACTCCCAATACTTCGACTTTCTTCCTGCCTTTTGGAGTGGTTTATTCTTTATTCCCCTGATATAGAATAGACATGCAACACTCACTTTGAGGAATTGGTTTATTGATAATACTGTACGGACGTAGAAAGGAAAGGACTTCACTGTAAGACTCGAGTTTAGTTCTCACATCAGACAATCACCGAGCAAAGGCCGGTGCTCCACCCGGTTGAAACTCGGTTGTGTCTCGGGATACTGTCTAGGCCAGTAAAGTGAGCTAGGTAAAGGGCTGATCAGAGACGGTGATTGTTCGGTGATCGGGATGCCGATTGTGTCATTGTGGACTGATAGGACCTGTCATGTTTGCGTCTGCCGGGTTGAATCGGGAAGGTGAGGTATATTCGGGGTCTTGGGTTCTTGGCTATAAGTTAGGGGTTTACAGTGCCCAGGGGGTTGGCATGCATGTACAATAAGTACTCTGTAACTCACTTCTGTACTGGGTACAAGGATTTGGTATGCTTTGAAGTAGTTTCATTATTCATTCAGCCTACGCCATGCGCTATATGCAATTATATATACCACGGGAGGAATAGGAATTATAAGCACCAAACTTCCAAGGGTCGGCACAAGTATCAATACTCTCCGATCCGGGTCGAGCAACTCAAGCCGGTAGATCCACTTGCAACAAAACCTCATCCCAAACCTGACGAAGCATAGGCAGATGAACACGATCGACATAGAAAAAGCCCAACAAGAGAGCCCGCGCCTCCTGCCAAGAGGTAATCCCTTGCAAACGGGCCGCAGCAGCCAATTCAGAAACGAAAAAGGCCCGCTCGGCAGGTAAGGTAGCACTACAGACAGCGCCCATGAAAAGCTGCCAGATAAGCAGATCCCGACACAGTGCGAACAAGCCCATGGGAATGGTAGTGGCGAGAGCAGCGCGCAGAGCGAGAATCGGTTTTGGCAGGAGTTGCGCGACCATGGGGTAGAAGCTCCAGATGGCGCTGTTGTGGAAGAGGAGGCAGGCGAGACGGGTACAGCCCTCGATTGAGTTGTCGCCTTTTTCTTGGCCGGTTGGTGTGTAGCGGTCTGTGTGGAGCATGTACTCCACGTACAGGACTTCTGTGTTGAAGTAGTCTTCCGTTTCTTCGTTGAATTCTTTGTAGCCTGTATTGCCTTTGATCCATTCTGCGTACCAGGATAGTTCTAGGAGGTCGTATATGATCTGGGGCATGGCTTCGCCGAATATGCCTGGGATTTTGAGGAGGGGGAAGAGGCGTGTTGCTAAGAGGGCTACGTCGTCGTTTGGAGGGATTAGGGAGAAATGAGCTGGGCGCGTGTAGCGAACGAAGGGGAAGATTGGTTTGGCGTGTGCCATGCAGGCGACGCGGATGTCGGTCCTGTTGCTGTTAGCTGTGCCCCATTGTTTGGTGCTGGGGGTGGACGCACCATGAGATTTGGAACCGGACGTCCGAGGGGACCTCGTCGAAGTTCTTTCGCAGTGCGATCATCTGACGCAGGCCTGCTAGATGGATTTTGAGATAATCAGGGTTTCCCGATGCGATCTGCAGTCATGATAAGTTCGATATCCACAGCTTCTCTTGGAGACACTCACTTCAATCGTCAACAGGGTTGAAACGGCAGCAATCAAAACATCACTGGATGCCTTGACCGGGTCCGACAAGCCCTCATTAACCAGTCGAATGGTCTCACCCCGATGGTGGAATGTATCAATCACCAACTGACTCCTCTTCTGATTCGGGTCACGGATAGGCAGCTCGCCAGCGCGCATGGCATCATTAGACGTCGCCATACAGATCGTCGCATGCAGAATGGCCGGATCCTGCTGGATCAGAGACGCCCAATGCGCTTGCAGCTTGGGTTTATACCGCGTCTGCAATGGATGTGCTTCTTGCGTGAGATCCCATAGGACTATACCACTGTCAGTATACAACCATCTAATTCAATCCAATCGGACAGAAGACTTACAAACTCTCAAATGCCGCATCATCCTATCCGTCAGTTGCGTATGGCCAGTATTAAACGGATCATTAGCTCCCTGTCCCACGCACGACCAAATAGACGGGTAAGTCGTCACCTCGCCATAGCTCTCCCCATCCCACGACGCAGCCGGAACAACCGGGTACCCAGCAGAGGTTGTAACAAGCGCATTGCTCATTTCAACTTGCTCCAGCTCCTGCTCATCTGAGATGTGACTCCCAGACAAGCTGGCCGATGAACTGATCGACGCGCGGGGAGTTCCGGTCGGTACCAGGGCTCCGGCGGGTCTCTGATAAGGCGTTGGCTTCCATTTGTCTTTGTTGTACTGCTTCGTGCTTTCCATGCGCTTCTTGCGGTTATGCTCGGACATTACATGGGATCGGATGCGCTTCAGTGTTTCTTCTTTTGTGCCTTCTGCTGCGGTCTGGGGGTCACTGTTGACCCAGAACAGGGTTGATTTCCCGGAGGCGTTGGTGTTGGCCTTGCGGGGTTTGCGGACCTTGGCGGGAGCATTGCGATTGGGTTTAGGAGTTGGCGTTGGTGCTGGAGCAGGAGTAGAAGCAGGAGCTGGAGCTGGAATTGGAGGGACCTGCGCTTGAGGTTGTTGATAGGGCTGGATAGGTCTGGTATCATCATGATGATCGTCGGGGACGTAGTCCGGGTGAGCGGCATCACTCGGCCATGGCCGAGACAGCACCGGCAAGGTCTGCTCGTAGCTGAACTTTTCCTCCATTTCTGAGGGAGAAAGAAAGAGCCTCAAGAGCCCCGGGGGATCAGGGTAGATATGGAAGAATTGAGGAAATTGGATTCTTCAGTGATCAATCGCCGGGCGAATCACCGTCCCCGCTAATTGCTAGTGGGATGCGAGGCTGCGCCCGAGGGAATCACATCCTCTTAAAGTGGGAGCCTTAGAGGTACCTTTGGAGGCTTTGGGGGCGTTTAGGCGGCCCTTTGAGGGGCTTTGAGGGCTTCGCAACTTAGTTCCAAACAAGCTATGAGGGGAAACTGGTGAGATGGCGATCCACTGTAATTCTTGGCTTTATCCACCAGGGACGTTGAGTGTGTCTCCCAAGTACTTTTGGTGGAGTCATGTGGCGCTCTTCAACAAAGTTACATACGTATACTCATGTACTCATATGTACAGTGCGGAATTAGTGCCTTGGTACGGTCTTTTTGCTATCGGGGTATATACTAGTAGAAAATCCGACATCTTGTACGGTGCAAACATCGGTTCATGAAACATCTAATTAAAGACGCGGAGCGATCTTCCTTTTGGCCCCAAGACCACTGACGAAATGTCTCCAACGGTCAGAAACCTGCAGCGCAAGGTTTTGACGCTCCCGTAGGCACTACTGTCGACTCGGGCGCCAATGGCTGTGGGACTGCCGAAATGCTGCAGTATAATGTGAGATGACAATGGCATGTTTCAAGAGTGTAGGTATATACAAAGCTGGGGTTGGGACAATCAGAGTCGGATTATCCGGCTGGACTCCGTATGCAAGAGGTAGCTCCACTCGTAGGACTAACTACATTGTGCAACACTCCGAGCTACAAGTGGAGAAGAGGGAGAAACCGGTGGGAAGCAGATGAGATACAGCGAATAAGATAGTGAAGGGAAAATAATCTAATGGGTGTATTCCGGCATGCAAATAGGTTGAGCCCCGAAATTTAGGTCATACCGGGCCGCGGAAAGATCGGCATCGTCTCCAACTGTTCTAGTCCGCCCATCGTACCACTTTGTCCATTGGCTTGCCAGCCTTGTCCGGTCTGCTGGTTGATAAACTGGCTCTGTCGGAAGGGATTTGTGCTTCCGGTGGGATTCGGCTGCAGAGGTGCGGCCGGAGGCATGCCTTGTGGGGCTGGAGAATTGCGAGCAAACGGATTGGTTCCGGTT